TCGCTGAAAGAAAACGAGAACTCGCAGTTTAGAAAATTAGTGCTTCAGAATTCTGATTGTGATGTTTTTGCTGTATGTGAAACGTTTTTACGGGGAAATGAAAAAACATAAGATTAACGGATACAAATGGTTAGGTAACAACCCAGAAACTACGCATGTAATTGCTGTTAGAGGTTCTTGTGGTGTAGGCATTTTCGTTAAAAGTGAATTATGTAATGAATTTGAAATTACACTGCTAGATAGAAGTGTAGAAGGTATTCTTTGGATTCAGATGAAAAGTAAAACTTCAAATTTTTGATTATGTGTAGCCTACCAAATGAGTCGAAAAGACCAAATGATCAGATATCATTTTTCGAGAATTTACTTCAACAAGTATATTGTAACAAAACAATGGATATACCATTATCTGTGGCGACTTTAACGCATGATGTAATAAAAATAATAATAATAATAATAATAATATCTTTATTTAAAGAGAGTAACTCATTTGGATTAAACCAATTTTCAATAAGGCTCTCTACATACAATATCAACTACACGAATAAAACATAATTAATCTACTATTACACACATATAAACAATAGATGTATATATACACAAATATAACAACAACAACAACAAAAAAACCACCTATAGTTTACACTGTGGCTTAACTTATAAATTTCACACTTTTAAAAATATAATGACTTGTAAGAGTATTTGAATGCAGATATAGTTTTTGATTTTTTAATTTCACTGGATAGTGAATTCCACACTTTTGGACCACTAAAAAAAAACTTGATTTGTATAATTCTGTTTTTGATTTAGGGACAATAAAATTATCTGATGATGAAAGTCGAGTATTGTACGATTGTTTACTATTTGTAGGCACAATAAGATTTGATAAATATTTTGGTACCAGTTCATGTTTTGATTTATACATTAATAATGACTTGTGGTAAAGTATTCTCTTGGTAACCGTAACGGGAATAATTCCAGAATCCTTAAATAGTTCAATAGATGGTTTACGAATATCGTGTTCGTTTAAAATAATTCTAGCTGCCCTTTTTTGCAATTTTAGTAAACTGTCAACTAAAAACTTGTTACAGTTTCCCCATACTGAACAACAGTAATCCAAGTGTGGAAGAATATACACATCATGTAAAATAGAATTCGTGCATTATGATTCAAGTATTTCTTGATTCTTTTTAATAAAGCTAATGAAGAATTAACTTTTTTGATTATATGATTAATTTGATCATACCATAGAAATTGACAATGAGGGTCGGTTGAAAACAAAACTTTATGACAAAAGAGATGATTTCAGCTTCCTAATTGTGAACTTTCCATTTTTATATAGCAACATTCCAGCAGCGCCTGCATACGGGGCATATATCTCCCAGTTGATACGATACTCCAGGGCTTGTTATTTCCTATCATGATTTCCTTGATAAAGGGTTGCTGCTCACGAGGAAGCTATTAAACCAAGAGTTCCAAGTGGTGAAGTTGAAATCATCCCTTCTTAAATTTTACGGACGCCATCACGAGTTGGTTGACCGTTGCGGAATATCCGTTTCAGAGATGATAGCGGATATGTTCCTAATGTCGTAACTACAATCCCGTCTACTTTTCCCGAATGTGACCTACCGAATTAGACTTATTACCGGGTTTGTACTAACATGAGCAACACGACGGGTGTCACATTTAGAGCAGGATCTGCTTACCCTTCCGGAGCACCTGAGATCATCCCCAGTTTTTGGTTGGGTTCGTGTTGCTCAGTCTTTAGTTTTCTATGTTGTGTGTTGTGTACTATTGTTTGTCTGTTGGTCTTTTTTCTTTTATAGCCATGGCGTTGTCAGATTATTTTCGACTTATGAGTTTGAATGTCCCTTTGGTATCTTTCGCCCCTCTTTTTTAGATGTGGAAATGTTAAACTCAATCTTAGAAGCTATCGACCGTATCGAAAATGCAATAAAGGTTGAAGATGATGTTCATACAGCTTTGTATTCTGGTAAAAGATGAAATGGATACAATAACTACCGGTTGTAAAAAATGCAAAGAAACGAAATAAACGTGCTAAATCAATATATAAGCGCTACAGAAACCAAACCCTTGAAAATCAATGGAATATTGTGTGTGTAAGTCCCATGGCTCGTCCGCTCACATGAAGAACTTGAAAGAAAAGTTTTGTTCCATACGAAAGTCTTTCGATAAACTTAATCGTAAATACAAAGGGAGATATGTGATCAGCGAACAAAATAAACCGCAGGAAAAACTCATGATTTACCGTTAAACCAAAGAGCTTTTTGGAAATCAATAGGTAAACTGGGCATAGCAAATGAAAGAATGGAGACTATACCATGGACAGTCATGAATAATGACGGAAATATGAAAACAGACAAGAACTTTAATTGTGCTTGATTGTTGGAAAACAGATTTTAAGGAACTTTTAAATGAAAACGCTAAGTAAACCAGTCGTAGATGAATAATGGTGACACCGATTACAACCAACGTGACGTCCCGACGCTGAATGGACCCATCACACGTGAAGAAGAGATTACTAGTGCAGTTGATTTGATGAGATACCTGCAGAAGTAGTTAAAAACCCAACAGCCATTGAACTTTTGTATATAATCTGTAACGGTTGTTTCGAACTGGGAAAGGTACCAGATCAATGGACTACTTGTATAATTAATCCAATTTTCAAACCTGGATCCGAAGATAGAAAGATCCCTTTGAATTACGGGGAATAACAATAGTATCTGTAACTAGTAAAATATATTGCCATGTTCTCAATACTCGTTTAAATTCATGGTTCGATGTAAACAAAGTACTTTGTGACGAACAGAACGGGTTTAGAGAGAAACGAAGCTGCGAGGAACACATTCATACGTTGCATACTGTCATCAATGATAGAAAGATAGCCAGACAATCTACGTTTGTTTGCTTTATAGACATGCATGCGAAGAGCGTTTGATTCTGTGCCTAGAAATATGTTGTGGTATAAACATCTCCGAGTCTTTTTGTCATCTACATAAACGATTTGGTCGAGCGTGTAAACAACATTAAGTGTGGGATAAAGATTGACGACACTCAATTAAGCATATTATTGTACGCTAACGACATTGCTGTTATAGCGCCAGATGAAGCAAGTCTACAACAGATGTTAGATATTGTTACAACATGGTGTCAAGATTGGAAATTTCAGATTAACCGATCGAAAACCAAAATTATACATCATACAGATTCGTACAAATATCTGGGACTTTGGTTTGATTAACACTTAACTTTGAATAAAGCTGTAAAGAGGCTTGTGAAATCGGCTAGTAGAGCTCTTGGTGCCCTATTCGGCAAATTCGTTTCGGCGGGAAGTATGACTTGGAAAGATTACTATAAACTATACACATCGATGGTGGAACCAATTTTGTATAATGGCTGTGGTATTCGGGGAACAAAATCTTACAGTGTGATAAACAATGTTCAGACTAAAGCAGCCAAATATTTCCTTGAATTGGGAAAAAGAACTTCTAATACATCTGTGCGTGGCGACCTAGGACTTAGTTCTTGTCATACTACATTTTGTAAGCAAAAACTGTCATGTTTACGATTAAAATGCAAATTAGTCCACGCAGATGATGATATGCTGATTTCAAAAGTGGCAAATTAGGAATCGCATCGTAGAAAAGGCTGGCATTCCCAAGTAAACAAATGAATAAACGAACAAGACGTTTCTGATAAGTCAATAACGTTGGTTTGAGTGTGAAAACAGCAACACGCATTATCAACGACAAGTTACTCAATTTTAGATCAAACCAATTTTTGCAAGATTTGAACAACAATAAAAACAAAGCGAATGGCAATGAATTAAGAACGTACCGCTTATATAAGACGACGATAGAAACCGAACACTACATTACAAGCCAGCTTCCAAGAACTGTCAGGTACAATGGCATTATTTAGGAGCCGGGGGCATTATCGTTAGCTGTTGAGAAGGGACGATGTTCCAGACCGCAGATACCATTAAATGATAGACTTTGTAAATTTTGTAATACGAACTCTGTAGAAAACGAAATACATTTTTAATGGTTTGTCTCTTATAGATCTTTATATACACACATCCGATACGAACGTTTTCAAAAAGCGCTAGAACTCATTGATGACTTTGACAGAATGAACAGAGAATAGATTTATTGCGCTTATGATTAACTGTAGTTAAATACACACTTTTCTAGCTCATACATTGAATAGATTTTTTCTAAGGAGAAAAAGGTTTTCATGGAATTATAATTTGCAAACTATTTATAAAAATCAGTATTTTTGTTCTTTCTTTATATATTGTTTTCATTTTACATAAACTTACTGTGATAGCCAAAGTTTAAATACGTTTATTTTCTTTTTAAAAGATAAATCAATCCACTATTTTATTTACTATTTACTTTATCACAATATTGACATTTTTATAATTTTTTGATTTTTAATTTGTCAAGTGTGGAATTTTTTATGTCCTTATTTAACCCAAGCTTGTAAATAACTTATAAATTATATATTTTTAATGTGTTTAATTGTAAATTTAGTCACGTCTCGTAAGTCTATATATAGGCTGGGTATTGATATTTGTTTTAATTGTTTTGTGTATTGAACATGTATATTTACTTGTGAGATCAATATGTGACACTTTAATGAAATAAGCATTATCTTATCTTATCTATCAAGGAAATCATGATAGGAAATACAAGTCCGGGACTATCGTATCAACTGGGCCTCGGAGATTTACAAGTGAAGCTTTATTGTTCCTCATATTTTGTCCCGTTTATTTCCTTTTTCTGGTCTTTGTTAACTAGCAAGGATTCTATTAAAAATGTGTAATTATAACACTTGTTGGTATTCTTTCTACACCAGTTTGTCCATATCGGGACCAACTACATGTGGCGAACTTAAATCGGGAACGAAACCACATTGAGGACGAACTGAATTTGGGGCGAAAAACCTAGATTAGTGACCATAAAATTAAACTTCCGGTGTAAGATATTATTGATCAACCAGACCACTCTACTGTAAAGAAAAACACAGCGAAAGCTACAATGACAGCAATCGTTCCTATATTTTCGATTGCCCCAGTCTTTAATCTGACGTTTTGGTGATCCATGTCCTAGCTAGAAAGGTTAAATATTATCCATTTCTTGTCAAGATCAGTAATCATACAAGTCTTATGACCATGATAATTTCACACACACGGACATAATATTTTTCCACTTGTCGTAACCACAATCCCATCTGTTGCTCGATTTGACATTGCCGAATGCCACTTTATCACCGGATTCTTACTTGCATTAGCAGTACAACAGGTGTCACAAGTGGAGCAGGAACTGCTTTGGAGATCCCAGCCTGACCCAGGAACATATATATTGGTTAGATAGCTTTCATGTCGATCCGGCCCCAATAAAAAATATTAAAAAGGAATAAAAATAAAGATGAATATGAATTGTAATTCATAAATGTTTATGAATTTTATAATAATATAAAAGGTGTGAACGGTAAAAGAAGCTGGCCTTTGACGAATATTTTCATTGTAGATAGATGAGACATTTATTTGACTATACTATTATTTTGATATAAATATTTGAATTCACAGAGAAGACAGTGACGAAAAGAAATCATGGTACATTTCTTCTTCATGTTAAAAAATATAACCCTTAATTAAATTATTATAACTTTAAATAAAAGATCGAATATATAGACCTTGAAGTTGAAATGTTCATCCACAGGCACTTGTCTCTGAAAAAAATAACCTTTATACTGTAATATAACACAAAGTACCCAACACATGTTTTTGAGAAATAACACCCAGTCATGAACTTTCCGCTTTATTTTGAATCCACAGTTGTCTATAGCACTGAAACTTGTTATGTCGTAAATCTACATTTAATTATCTACAAAATGGTGTGTAACACGCCTTTATCTGTTGTCAGAATCACATGTAAAAGGCCTACCAAGTAGATAAAACGAAAATTATTTCTTTTTCTCACAGGGAACTGTACATGTTGTTGGCCAGTCTTAATTCATATTTTACCAAAAGTGAAACTTGTTCTTTTTATATGCAGGAAGAAAGAAAGCCAAAAACAGTCAGTTCACATCAAAGACTTTATCTTTCCTGCAATATTCACCGAAGAAATAATTTCATTCTTATTTTCACATATATGCGCCCCCCCCCCCCCCCCCCCCCCCCATCAATACTCAAATAGACAAGCTTGAATAATTAAAAGTATTGTCCACTTTTCTGGATTTTTAAATTCATCAGGATCTCTCAAAACCAAAAATTTGAAAGTCTAGGATGTATAACTACTTTGAGCTATGTAACCAAAAGGGACCTGAAAAGAAATTAGAATTGTCTAAACTGGCTATGCTCAACCTTTACCTTTACCCTGATCCAAAAAGCAGGACATTACAATTTTTTAAAATTTTATGGTACTTGACCTGGTACAGTTGCATTTACATGTGTTATTATTATAATAATTATAATTCCAAAGAATATTTAACGGTCTTCTTTTCACAGAATAATATTTGCATTGTCCATAGATGGTTTCTGAAATTGAAATCAATTGTTAAATAATCTCCTGTTATTCTTTTCCTTTTTAGGTTTAGTTCCTCTAGAAATGGCAACAATAGAGAAGTTGATAAAGGCATTTGAAGCCTTAAAAGTATTTCATCCACAAGGGACATCTACAGAGGAATCCTCTAAGTAAGTTAACTCTTGTCAATATTGTATGGTTTAACTTGCATGCTGGAAGCTTGCAGCTGTAACCATGACTTCAATTGTCCTTACTAAACATAAAAGTCTTTTCTGAAGCAAATGAAATAAATCATTCAGATGTGTTCCTTACAATATAAAATTCCAATCATACTATTGATAGAATATGGGTTATTACAGTGTTCTCCCCAGGATTTTTTGATAGCACCAGGGTAACGCGTGTGAACAGCTTGGTGAAATGATTCATACAATCAGTTGTGTCGCGTGGCGTCGCTATATTTCTAGTTACTGCAGTTTTTATGTCTCTTGTTTTAATTCTGTGGTACTGTGTTACATGTATGTCAGAATATTATTGGTTAAAAAGATCAATTAACAGTTTGTATACTTTTAATATTTTTTAAAAATAAATAAAACATGATTCATTACATGATATTCATCTAAATTTAAAGTAATTAAATATAAAATCCATGATCAATAAAAATAAAATATCATTCAAACAGGAACATATATATTGTTAGATATACTGTTCCCAGATTCAAAAGAGAACAAAAATGTTCAATTTAAAAAACTTTCTAGTTTCTAGAAAGAAAGTTGTTGTATGTGAAAGGATTCCTGTCATAAGGAGATATAAAATTAACAAGAACAAAATTGTGTTATAATTTGAACCAGTTTCTATCTTAAATTTTAATAAAAAGAAATTTTTCATAAATTTTAAAACATTTTGCCATAGATTTCATGTACATGTAAATATTAACCTTTCTTGTCTTTGGTGATAATCAAACATATATACAGACTTAATACTGCACTGAAATCTAAATCTTTATTTGTCATGATCCATTTAAAAAAAATTCCTAAATCTATAAATTTATCTTAGGTCTATAGATCTATAAGTTATATTCAATATCAACAACATTTTCCCACCAAAATGACAGGAAGTAGATATAAATAGATTTAACATGTGCTTATGGATTAAAATTGCAAGATCACTTCTGTTATTCATTAATGATCATATGGATATAGATATCCAGTTTGAAGGTACAGTCATGCATTTTATTTATAAAATAGAATAGATTGCAGTTAATTGTAAATAATCTTGAATATTCTACGTGAACTAACTGGGTCATATGATCCTTCCCCTTTGAATTACTTGTTGACAGTTTGAAACCGGAATATCATGCAATAACTATGTCATAATTAAAGATAATTTTTGCCATGGTTTAATCAGAGACATATAAAACTATAATATAAGTATTGAGCTAACTTTATAATGTACAAAATATGTACCGTCGTATGTACAACTATCGGGTCAAAACGGTTTGTGTACAAAGTATTTGCCGACTTGTCAGGTGGTGAGTGAAGCCTTAAAATAGTTATCTTTGATCATAAAGTTATGATCTCTAAATTAAAACACAAAAGAATCATGTAAAAAGTGTTAATTACATCGATTAAATCCAATCAACAAAGGTTAACCTCATAAAGGTAAATCGATCACGTGGTGTAAACAATCCGTGTTGAACTGGTTTGAACTGGTCAAATCTCACCTGGAGTTTTATACCGCACGAAAAAGATTTAACAAGTCGTTTAAAACTTTACCGATTTACGATTTTTTAACTGAAAATTTTAGCACCACGGAGAAAAATTATACATCGCGGTAAGAACGGTACCACCACGGTAAAAAATTATACATCGCGGGCCCGCGGTCCATTAAGGGCCACGAGAGAACACTGGTTATTAGATTAGACCGTTGGTTTTCCCGTTTGAATGGTTTTACACTAGTAATTTTTTGGGGCCCTTTATAGCTTACTGTTCGGTGTGAGCCAAGGCTCCGTGTTGAAGACCGTACTGTGACCTATAATGGTTTACTTTTATAAATTTTTACTTGGATGGAGAGTTGTCTCATTGGCACTCATACCACATCTTCTTATATCTATATATTATGTATATTTTACACGATATCTATATGCGGAAAACCTGATTATCTGTTTATCATGCTAGTTTTATGGTCTTATTTCTCTATTTTTAAACATTTTTAAGCTTGCCAAAATTTAGCTTGATAATTTCTTCTCACACATTGTGTCATCACTGATAACTTTTCTTCAAACATTGTGACGTCGCTAATAAGTTCTGCTCACATCTCAAAGCTTCGATACAAGAATTACAGAGTGACTGAGCAAGGGTGATATAGGCTCAAGGACAAAAAATATTAAAATTAATATTTTGAGAAGATGATTAAGCTTCTAACTTGTACAACTATTGTCTGTTTGTTATGTAAAATAATTTAATGATTTAGGAAAACATTTATATCTTGTGGGAAAAAACCTGTTACTGTTGATTGTATTGTATATTTCCTTCGGTTGTGATTATTTTTGGCATGATTTCAGGATGAAATTTTTTCTTAAGATTGATAAATAAACATGAAAGAAAGTGAAATAGAAAGATTTTTCAAATGAAGCATATATAGATTTCTGTGTATTTGACTAAATCATCTGGATTTCAAATAAATTTAGGCTTATGAATCATAGGGCAGCATTTTCAACAAACTAAATATTAAAATCAGATCTGTAATTTGGTATAGTACACATAATGTTGCAAGATCTTTTTTGTCAATGAACGCGCTGTTTGTTTTCATTGAATTTGGTGGAAAATTGATATTAATACTAGTTTTGACGTCATAAGGAGAATGCTGATACATAAATAAAAAAATAGACATTTTTTCTATCTTGTCATTGTTTTAACATAAAAGCCATTAAAGACTTATTTGAAAATTCTATTTAGCCTTCAATAATGAGCAAAACCGATACTTTAAATTTATCTATAAAAGGGCCAGGCAGTAAAACAGTTTCATTAAAAATAACATCATACAAATTACAAATCTACTTGATTATTAAAGCAGTGTAAGGGAGATAAATCAAATACATCATTGAAATTATCTCCCTTACACTGCTTTTAAATTATGTATAAAGTAATGGTTAATGAACAATTAAGATAATTCAAAACAGTGTAAGGGAGGTAATCCAAATACAACGTTTTGGTTACTTCCCTTACACTGCTTTTAAATTATGTTTAAAGAAATGCATATTTATAAAGGAAGACCAGTAAAAATATCTGCAAAAATTTCAAGAAGTAATCTTTAATTGCACAGTATGGCGCATTAGATTTGTAAAATCTTTGACCACATTTATTTATTTGTTATGCCGAATCTAACCGTGTATTTAGATTTTTAATTTTGGGTCCAGTTTTCAAATTGGCCTACATTAAGGTCCAAAGGGTCCAAAATTAAACTTTGTTTGATTTTAACAAAAATTGAATATATGGGGTTCTTTGATATGCTGAATCTAAACATGTATTTAGATTTTTGATTTTTGGTCCAGTTTTCAAGTTGGTCCAAATTGGGGTCCAAAATTAAACTTTGTTTGATTTCAACAAAAATTGAATATATGGGGTTCTTTGATATGCTGAATCTAACCATGTATTTAGATTTTTTATTTGTGGACCCCGCTATCAAATTGGTTCATATTGAGGTCAAAAGGGTCCAAAATTAAACTTCGTTTGATTTCATCAAAAATTGAATTATTGGGGTTCTTTGATATGCCAAATCTAACCGTGTATTTAGATTTTTAATTTTGGGTCCTGTTTTTTAAATTGGTCTACATTAAGGTCCAAAGGGTCCAAAATTAAACTTTAGTTTGATTTTAACAAAAATTGAATTCTTGGGGTTCTTTGATATGCTGAATCTAAACATGTGTTTAGATTTTTGATTATGGGCCCAGTTTTCAAGTTTGTCCAAGTTGGGGTCCAAAATTAAACTTTGTTTGATTTCAACAAAAATTGAATATATGGGGTTCTTTGATATGCTGAATCTAACCATGTATTTTGATTTTAGACATTGGACCATAATAGGTAAATTAAAAAAAATTCAAGTTCTTAGACCACATTCTTTCTGTGTCAGAAACCTATGCTGTGTCAAATATTTAATCACAATCCAAATTCAGAGCTGTATCAAGCTTGAATGTTGTGTCCATACTTGCCCCAACTGTTCAGGGTTCGACCTCTGCGGTCGTATCAAGCTGCGCCCAGCGAAGCATTTTATTTGCATTATGTGTGGAATGATTTTATTTTCTTGGTAGTAAAGATATGTCCTTCTACTTTACTATTTATACCCCAGGTACTAGTATCATATTTTTCTATTTTTAGGAAGAAAGATGTCGTGGTTACAAAGAAAGATAAAATATTAAACTGCAACATAGTAGCAGATTGCATTTGTGCAACGAACATGAGGTACTGTAGTAATTTGCCTCTTTAGAATCTAAAGGACTATGGGTAATCTCATTGTTCGTACACCAAAATGAAAATAACGTAACATCATTGGTTGAATTTCCATTGTTTAGTCCTTACTAAACCAATCAATGTTTTGGTGTACACTTTTGAAAATATTACCCAGAATGCATTAGATTCTGAAACAGTGAATTGAAATGTAATTGTATATAAATGATAGTAACGTTCATGGAAACCCACAAATTCATTGAAAAAAGAGCCATTAAAATATTAATAGAAAACATTGATAAACATGATAAATGAAATAACATTCTAAAACTAAATAGCAAACATGCTTTGTTTCACAAAAATGCTAAATTTCTATGCAGGCATTCAAATATGTTTACTGCAATGAGAATCAAGCATGTCTTAAATAGTATGACAAGAACTGTTGCAATTGTAATATTTTAAAACAGCAAAAGCTCATGTTTTATATATTTTGTTAAAATGAATGGCCAGAATTATTTATAGTATAGGCTTTTATAGCTTCTCCTGTTGGATAAAGGGACAACTATAATTTTGAAATTACACTGCAATCAAATTGAACATTTAAAATGGACTTTGATTGAAGTCAATTTATGGTTTTTTTCTACAAATTTATCAATTATTTGATCAATTATATGTACAAATCATATTTATTCATTTAATTCTACTACTTTTGAGCTATTTTGTTTCTAATAACTGCAGAAAAACAGGAGAGATTGGAGAAAAGGTTTTGCTTCAGTAAAAAAAGTAAAAATGAAATAATTTCCAAAATATTTGTTACATTTAAGAATTAATTTTTATTACCAGAGCAATCACAGATTTTCCAAAATTCCTTGGAATTGCCATGGAAACATTTCTAGGTTTATGTGATGACGCTGAGTCAGATGTACGAATGGTAGGAGATGAATGCATTAACAGATCGATAAAGGTAAGGGTTGTCATGGAATCATTTCTAGGTCTAATTTAAGAAACAAATTTATAAAGATGTATGAAGAGAAAGAATCTATCTGGGTTTTTTTCTGTGAAGCTAATTGTTCTTACATTCCAACTTTCTATACTCAAGTTGTGTTTTGGTGTATGTAAGGATGTCAGTATTAAAATGTTCCTTAGACTTTCTTCCATTGGTGACAATAAACTCTAAGAGCTAAGGGATAGTATTCTGCTGTCTTCCCAATGTATCTTGCATTTCTGTAATCTAGGCATTTTACTCTGCCTGGTGATAAGCCATGTAAAAAAACTGATTCCTGCAGGTTGTTTTTGCTGCAGTGGTATTTTCCTCCTTTTGCTTGCATTTAACTAACTAGTTTCATTTTCCTGAGTTTGTGACAGCAATTTGATTTCTTCACCTTTTTGTTCAAAAATATCCACAAAATACTGGAGCAATTTAATTCATAGCTAGGGACTTGGTTTGTGGGTATCGAGGACTGTTTAGTTCCCTAGGCCATTCATATCATACTTTTAGTGACCTAATCTACTCCAAAGACTGTTTTTTGCCTTTGGCTACAATGTGCCCATTTTTCAACTTTCCACCTCTAGGTGGATTCCATATTTAGCCACATTGGTCCTACTGTGTAAGAGGCAATAGTTTGTTTGGAAGATTTTCAAGCTCAGCTACATATTTTTAGTAAATTCTACTGCTTTGCAATAGTGAGGCTGAATGCAAGATTGGCAAACATAAACACTACAACACCAACTTTGCATTAGACATCCCTCTTATGAATAAACATTTATTTATTTTTGAATGCAAAAAATGTGTAATACAGATTAGTCTGACATGTAGTTTTTATTCATATCATTCTTAGGTCCTGTTAGAGACAAATTTAGGAAGATTACAGGTAGAGTTATATAAAGAAATAAAGAAGAATGGTGCATCTAGAAGTTTAAGAGCAGCTGTATGGAGATTTGCTGACATGGCACATCTGATAAGACCACAGAAGAGCAGGTATCACAAAATATGTTTTATAGATAATGTCTTTTGTAAAATTTGTAAAATATTATGGAATATACTGATTATCCGGTTTTCATTAAATTAGTATTGTAAAATATCTGGTATGAGTCACAATATTTTTACAAGAACATCAACTAATACATACACTAAACCTAAACTTTTCCAAATATCCCTTTCCTTGAATACTAACTTGTTTTGGTGAAATTAAGTAACAGAAAGCAATAAATCATTTCAATGGTTGTTCATATTGTGATAACTGCTTTGGGAATGCAAATATATTTTGATACGCCCTTTTATGGGACGTATTATGGTATACCGTTGACCGTCTGTCCGTCCGTCGTCAACATGTCGGACATTAACTCAAAAAAGCTTTAACCAATATGCATGAAAATTTGGTGAATTGTTTATATCTATTGACGTGAGCTCCATTTAGTTTTTTATAAATTTCAGATTTACCGTTACTGAGTTTTGGGGTTTTATTCATTAAAATAGGGGGGATTTTCCAGTTTTCCGACAATAACTCAAGAATGCTTTCACCAATATGCAGGAAACTTTGGTGAATTGTTTATATCTATTGACGTGAGCTCCCTTTTGATTTTTATAAATTTAAGATTTTACGTTTTCGAGTTACAGGGTTTTATTCATAAAAAAGGGTGATTTTCCAGTTTTCTGACAATAACTAAAAAATGCTTTCAGCAGTTCTCATGAATCTTTGGTGAATTGTTTATATCTGTTGATGTAAGCTCCCTTTAGAATTTTATAAATTTTAGATTTTACATTTCTGAGTTATGGGGTTTTATTCATTAAAAAAGGGGGGATTTTCCAGTTTTTGGACAATAAATCAAAAATGCTTTCAGCAGTTCTCATGAAACTTTGGTGAATTATTTATAGCTATTGATGTAATCTCCCTAAATTTCAAATATGACATTGAGAAGACATTGAACTATATTTGTTTATAGTCTGACAATAGATTTACTAAGTATTGCGCAACAGCACAGTGTATTGCACAACAGCAAGAAATCTTTAATTGAAGATAAATTCAATTCATATAACCAATTTCAAGTTCTTTGACTACATTTATTCAGAAACCTATAATATGTCAAATATTTAATTACAATCCAAATTCAGACCTGTATCAAGCTTGAATATTGTGTCCATTTTTGCCCCAACTGTTCAGGGTTGGACCTCTGTGGGCGTATCCAGCTGCGCTCAGCTAAGCAGTTCATTTCAGGGGAGGGGGAGAGCTTGGAAGATTTCGTAAAAGATTTTTTAATTGATTTTTTGGTTAATATACTTTTGACAAAATCATGGTCTTTGGACTTGGAACATTTCTTTATTTAGAGGGTACCATAGAAATAGGTAGTAATTACAAATTATCATACAAAATTTTATCTATTTTCTCTCAGCCATGATGTTTTCTGTTCTTTGATTATGAATTTTACCCCATCATACACACTTGTATCTTTTAACTTATTTCTATATTTCCAGACCATATATAGTGAACTTATTACCATGTTTGGCAAGGATATGCAAGAGAGAAGATGAAGCTATCCAAGAAACATTGTCAATAGCCATGCAGAAAATCTGTCCTCCATTAATGAGCTTTGCAACAGAATCAGAGGTTAAAGTAAGGTTCATTCTTTTACTCACAAATACATGTTAAATGTCCATATTCTTTCAATTACAAGTACACATTAAATGTCCATATTCTTTCACTTACAAGTACACGTTAAATGTCCATATTCTTTCAAGTATGTATTAAATGTCCATATTGGATAATTCTTTTAAATCACAAGTACATGTTAAATTTCCATATTTTTTCACTCACAAGTACATGTTAAATGTCCATGTACCTGGTAAACATGATTTGTTATAGTTTCAGTTTGAAGTTTGAATGTTACATTTTGACAATTATCAGATTTTTTGTGTAATGGAACTGGACAAGGGGACCAATTTTGCTTGTATGTTATATAATGTACCAAGTCTAAGAAAAATTACCTGTAGATTGAAACACTAGATTAAAGTCCTTCAAAGGGAGATAACTAAAAAAAGTATCCCAAAACCAAACATACCATGGATCTCATATAACATTCTAGTAAACTGGGAATTTTGGAATAGACTCTTATTTTCAAGAAATTATAGCATCACATCCATAACAAAACCTAAAAGAAAATCATATGAGATAGCATGACATTCAAGCAATATAACATCACATTACCATAATGTTTGGACAACACTGACATTCTTGTAAGTCTTTTTATACAGTGAATGCATGAATATATATGTTATACAAGGGTAGTGTTGATGACTGTTACAATATGTGCAAAAAATAGGGTCAAAAAGTTAAATCCATTACTTTTTTAGATGTATATATTATATTGTAGGCCCTCCTGAAAGCATTTTTACCAAATCTGCGATCAAACCTGGCATCATGTAGAAGGAATGCTGCCTCTAGTTTAGTATTGATCTGTCGTTACAGTAGGAGTCCAGGGTCATTCTTTAAATACTTACTGGGAATACTTGTAGGTAAGTCAGTTTAATAATTGGTAGTGCCAGCTCATTTATAATTTGAAATTATATTTTGTCTTTTTCATTTTGGTGTCTTACATTTAATATTGAAATGGCATATAAAGTAAAATAAAGTTAAACATTCTCAACATAACACAGGTTTTCTTGTAATAGGGTTTTATTCTGAATTTACCTAGCAACGTTCAAACAATTATTGTCTATCTTTTTCTCTTTTATGTGAAATTCCTCAACTGTCTGTCCTCACTTACCTATCTGACATTGCCCTTTTCTGTGTTCACTGGTGTTGTGCTTGGTAAATTCATTATGTATCAGTTCCCAAATAACCTATCTGACATAATCTAGTTAATTTATGTCATTTTTGATATTACAGATTATGTAATACCAGTTGATGGTGACCAGCCACAATACCTATTGCTTGGTATTCTGCTGTGTCTTAGAACTTTGATCCCCCATTTGTCTGACCCTGCCAATCAAGATCATGGAATGAAGGGAAGTTTTGGAAATACAACTAAAGATAAAGAGGATACAGGAAATAAAGAACAGCTGATAAAGGTAACATACTATCGAATTAAATGCAATTTTCTAATCAAACTTTTATGGAAAGATTGTGAGTGCATTATCTCAGTTTACACATCATTTATCTCTAGGAAAAATGTGTTTTATCCTTGTAATTCTAAACCCAAACATTTGTTGTTTTTGTCTAGCCTTGACGGAGTCAAAAAGCGAGACATAGGTATGCTGTTTCCGGCGTCATTTGCTTAGTTTACATGTATTACCGTATTTTGCGGATTAAAAAGCGCACCCCTAAATAAGGCGCACGGCCGTTTTTGGGGGTGAGGATTGTTTTTTTCCTTACATAAAACGCACCTGCATATAAAGCGCACCCTGAAGAAAACGTACATGCATTCTACTGACCTTAGCGTAATGAAAGTTCACTCCTTCTTGTAACTCACTCCGTAACATGTTTCATTTTTATTTTCAGATTGTTGAGAAAGTTGAAAGACATTTTGTATATATTTATTTGTTTCATATTAAAATAAATAAATGTTAATAAAATTATTATAATTTTCTTATTGTTTTAATCATGCCAGATTCATTAGTTGTTTTTTGTCAACAATGGCCATGTGTTGACAGCTTGGGTGTCCATTGAACCTTGTTGTTTTGATTAAAATTAGTTCGGTGTTGATTGCTTATTTATTGTTTGAATTGGAATCAAGGATTTTAATTAATCTTGAAAAGGTATTCATTTAAAAGTTACCCAAGCCATAAAACTGCCATTGTTTACCTTGATTATGACCTACTTAATTACCTGTACCCACGTGTGAAAACTGTTCACCCATAAGTCAGGAAAAAAATTATTAAATTAAATCTAAAGAATTTTATTGTTGTTTATAAAATAAAAGTTTAAGTTTTATAAGTAACAAACATTTTTCAATTTAAACTTGGTTGAAAACTGCAACAAAACCATTCAGTTTCTGCAAGTCATTGTCTATTTTTAACTGAAAGTGAGATGGGCCACGGAAAGGGGAATTCAAATAAGACGGCGATATATAAATGTCTTAGCATATTGAATTATGAAAATTAATATTCATTTTTTTTATTTCTTACACCAATATGTGGCTACAATATTTCATAAAGATATTTCATTTTGAAACAATAAAACAACAAGCAGTTACTCCTCAATAGTATATCCTGTATGGTACCTCTTTTCAAACACGCTTATCTTTCTTTGTTTATGAAACACTTTAAAGGGTTCATTTCAGCACATGGTTATCACCATCGTCATTAAAAGAGACTTGAAATATTGGAAAGAAACACAATCACTTCCTTTGTTATTTCTAAAGAAGATTTTATTTAAAAACACATTACAACAACAAACAATTACATATTTATTGTAAATACACAATTAATATCCTGTATGGTACCTCTTTCAAACACGGTTATCTTTCTTTGTTTATGTAATAAACACATGGTTATCAACTCCGTAAGCCAACAATGAAATAAAGAACAAATGATAAAGTATATATATTTTTATTCATAACAAAATATGCCACATGAACAATTTATCAAGTCACTGCAAGCACTTGACAATCTGACGATCTCCATAAAAAAAAATACAGATATATATTTTTTTTCACGCTTGCCCTGAAACTGAAAAAAATACATACATAAAGCGCACCTGAGTATAACACGCAGGGACAATGACAGAGAAAAAAACCTGCGGCTTATTTAACGAATTTAACGGTAGTTTGTGATTAGGTCAGTTTATGGGGGACCACTAATGGTAGGTCAATGATATTTGGTATGCAGTTGTATTAACAATGGCACATCTCATTACCATGGAGATTATTTAGCCCTGCCCCTCAGTCAAGGTCTATTGACTTTGAAACTTTGCTTAGTTTACATGTATTAGTTTATGATTAGGTCAGTTTATAGGGAGCCACTAGTGGTAGGTCAATGATATTTGGTATGCAGTTGTATAAGCATTGGCATATCTCATTTCCATGGAGATTATTTGGCCCTGCCCCCTCATTCATGGTCTATTGACTTTGAAACTTTTGCTTAGTTTTCATGTATTAGTTTGTAATTAGGTCAGTTTAAGGGTAACTGTTAGTGGTAGGTCAATGATAATTGGTATGCATTGTATAAGCATTAGCACATCTCATTTCCATGGAGAATATTTGGTCCTTACCCCTCAGTCATGGTCTATTGACTTTGAAACTTTTGCTTAGTTTACATGTATTGGTTTGTGATTAGGTCAGTTCAAGATGAACCACTAATGTTAAGTCAATGATATTTAGTATGCAAATGTATTGGCATTTGCAAGTTTCATCTCCATGGAGATTATATAACCCCACCCCCTAATTATGGTTCATTGACTTTGAAACTTTTACATAGTTTACAAGTTAATGTTTGTGTTTAGGTTTGTTTTAAGGGAACGACTTATGAAAAGTCAATGGTATTTGGTTTGCAGTTGTATTAGCATTGGCACATCTCATTTCCATGGAGATTGTTTAGCCCTGTACCTTCAGTCATGGTTCATTGACTTTGAATATTTGCATAACTTACATGTTAAAGTATTGCTATTTTAATTTCAACATTTGCATTATCAAAATAACAAATAGGCGAGACATATCTCTGTGTTAACAGTTTATTTCTTTAAGTTTTAGTTTCGTGGAACCCCAGCATTTCTTCATATGAATCACATATGAATATATAACCCATTGAAATCGACATAATGTTTACATAGGTTACAAAAGTAGTTCTGGCAATATTGTCTATCAAAGTGTAAACCAATGAAAGAAATTCTTAGGAAACAATCTCATTAAAGGATTTGTAGATATGCACATTAAACAAGAATTATTGTCAAATACTTATACTTTTATTTCGGATTTATAAAATTTGGAGTTAGACGACAATTATTTAACTGTGGTTAGAGGACAATTATTTAACTGGTAAGAATCAGAACAAAATCTGTGACCGTCTTTTTAAATCAAACTTAGTAAATGCAATTTGCAGGTTCTGATTGAAAAAAAGCTTTTCAATATAAACTAGAAAAAATAAATTTTTTAAAAGTATGTTTACATGAATCAGCTGTTTCCGAGTGAGTTCTTGACAATGGCTCGATTGACTCTGTGAGTACTCATGTACTTTTGACCTAATCAGCATCTCTAGTATTTAAATAATCCAAATGGAAGTCATTTTAATAAGCCACTATAGTATATATTATTTTGTTTTTATAAGTACGTCTAAACAAGTGACAACTCTACGACAGATCCATTCATTGGATCACCAGTGAAGGTGATACATGCCTGAAAACACATATTATATTCATATGTTCTTCCCTTGCCGGGGTTTTAACTCATGCTATTATTTTGTTTTTATCTTATACATGTAGGTATTACAAATATTAGTGTTCATGATGAACCATAAAGATCACAATGTTGTGAATGCTGCTTTAGAAGTGTGTCAACAGTTATTCAAACATCCCACACCAGTGTTACTCTCCATACTCAACACGAAAGGGAGTATTAAAAAGACAACAGTGTACAAGGTGGATGTGTTATCACAAACAACAGACTTGGGTAACTTATGCCATTGTTTCATTCAATAGTCATGTTGAGCATTTTTATTACCTGATTGTTGACCTAGAACAGAGATTGAAAAACAAAAGTTTTTAGTTGGGTAAATAGTTGGCTGAAGTAAAAGTTATTTATAGTTGGCTAAAGTAAACATTATTTATAGCTGGTTGAAATAAAAAAAGTTATTTATAGTTCGCTAAAATAAAAATTATTTATAGTTGGCTAAAATAAAAGTTATTTATAGTTGGCTAAAACAAAAGTTATTTATAGTTGGCTAAAATAAAAGTTATTTATAGTTGGCTAAATTAAAAGTAATTTGTTGGCTGTAAATGGCTGTACATGAGATAAAATTTCTATGAAATACTAGATTATAGCAAATAGAATATATATATGGAGGTATCAACATTGTTGCTGTTCTTCATTTATAATCTGCTGGAAGGTATTTATAGATGAACAAAAAAGCTTGCATTTTACAGCCATGTTAAGTCTTCTTTTACATGTCCATGAAGAACAAAAAGAAGTGATGAATGTGGTACTAGAATTATCATGGGGTTAAAAAGACACAAAAAATCAATCCTTAGATAGCACTTCCCCCTTTTTAAATGACATGTTACAGAAACAGATCTACAATAAAACAATACCATATAATACTTCATTTATAAATAGTGATACTGAGACTTCATCTATACAAATAATATCATACCTTCTTACGCCTTGTGTCGAAATGTTGTACTTCTTTAAAGTAAGGTTTTGAAACACCAATTAGTGAATCTTTGTCAGATATTTGGAATCCTCTATTTTTATCCATGTAGTGCCATTAAAAACTTTGCCCACTAACCCCTCTTTTTATCGGTAATTTGTACATTTTTCCTTTGATGTGTACTCACTGATAATGTTAGTATCAGTGGACTGGTCGTGATAAAACAAATTATTGGGTCAGTTTGCAATTGACATGCGCGAATGCACTGGTAAGGATCTACTTTCCCTTTCATTTACAAAATCGTGTGTGATTTTTTTCGCAAAAATTTTAACAGAAAATGTAAGAAAATCTACCGTAATTCATTTTCAATACTTTGTGCAAGAGAACGCAATGTTTTCTGCACTGTGACAAAATTTCAAATGACATAATGTAGTCTGTGACGTCAAGTGTGATTCACCATCATTCGACACGATAAAGTAGTTCGTTTGCTATTTTCTCTATTATTGCAGTGATTTTCTTTTTTTCATAATTACCAACAAAAAGTCCTTTATTCTATATTTATCATTTTATTAAAATAAGTTTAAAAAGCCATTTTTGAAAATATTATAAAATCCTTGCTATTTTTTCATAGATTTTGCGAACATCCTTCAGTCTAAAAAGCACAAATTGTAAAGGAAGAACAACAGTGCAAGACTGCTGTCAATAAGGTTATTTAACCAAACAGTAAATCATTGAAATTATAACTTAAAATCTAACAAATTGATTTATGCTATTTTAATAGGGATAAATGCTGTACCAAGTATGTCTAAATTAGAAGATGACATTACTGTAGATGATGATACAGATATTTCTGAATCCCTAGCAGACGAACTTGCTGACCAATCACACCTCATGTCAGATCTTGAAAACGTTTTACCTGATAAGATATTGGATGAAGATGATGGAAAGACGCAGAAGTCAGAGAATGTAAAAATAGATAGTGACAGCAATCAGGTTGTGTTTACGACATCTGACACAGAATATTCTGGTCTTACGATCGGTGATTTGAATGATGACAAATCAGAAAAGTCCAATTTATCACAGATGCGAACTGGTAGTCAGGAGACATTAGATAGTGTTCAGAGTCTCAGTCCAACACATCAAACTCTGCCACAGTTAAATGTTACGCAGGACATGAACGGAAATCCTGAAATTGAATTAGAAATTTCACCAGAACAACCTGAAATTAGTTCAAAAGACACAGAAATTCTTTTAGATCATATTGGAGCTTTAACTGATGATGAAAAACCTATTGTTTATTTCGCTAGATATATTTGTCGTAAATTTTTACTAGCTGGACAAAAAGGGGAGATAATAACTGACAGGAAAGTTCGTGTCAGTATCAAATCGTTAGCTTTGGGATGTATCAGTTGTATACTTAACATTTTGCCAGAAATATTCTTTCATAATGTGTTCAAAGATGTAGATACTGGTTAGTGTAAATTAAATTTATTTAATGGCAAGCCTGATCAAGAAATACTGACATTTAATTGTATCGAGATTTTCAAGATTTCAAGTCAAAATTGATTTCAAATGAACACAATTCATATATTATTGTTTGTTTGTCAATCCATATGCCAGTCCAGATATTGTGTCATCTAGAATAACCTTGTGACCTTATGTAAAAATCAATAAAATTTATTGAATTTTATGTAGGTCTGAGATCACATTTTGACATTAAACTTTTTAAATTGGACCAATCTTTAGTAAAGAAAATCCATTAGATTGATGTTTCCATTCAAGACACTTTTTGAGAAGAATAAAAAAACTGTAATTTGGGGGGTGGGGGGAATAGTATCAGTATTCACTTTCAAATATGTGTCACAGGATGTCTAATCAAAATGTTTTGATGACAAATTAATAATATACTGCTTAGGTTTTTGCAAGATATTTATGGGTATAAATAAGGAATACATCATATTTAAAATAAAATATTTAAACATCTGCAAAAGCACCAAGTTTTTAAGTACTTATTTTCAAGAAATGACATTGATTAAATATCTTGAAAATGACATTTTTAATAATTTGATGTTCAAATTACCATAAAATGAGGCTGGTTCAAAAAATAGTAATTCCATTCTTGTATCTTGTCCTCTCTGGATAAGTTGAAGTAAAACTTATCAACTATTAGCTATGAAAATAACCAGACAAAAGAGATTTTAACAATGACAGGCCGTAACAATATTTGTACTTGATGATATGAAGATTCACATTTTATTTCAGAACATTATCAGTTAATACAAGATGTTATGATATATGCTAGTCACCTTGACCCACAGTTGAAGGGTAATGTGACATTGCTGATTGGTAACTTTGTTCGTTCAGCCTTGAAGGCAGCTAAAGGCAACTTTAACAAGTGGACTGTCATTCTTGGTTATGATGTGAAAGGTTAGTTTCATAGTTTAAAGGCATATGATGAAGTAGCAAGGGTTATTTATAATGCATCCATACTTAACCCATTGTTTTGCAACATTTCTAATGATGAACATAAGAAATTCACACAAAAATCACTTACGTCATCAAATCGGTTACATGATTTTTTCATATTCAACCTTCAATTTAGGTACTTTCTGAAAGGCCTTTAAATTAGGGAATACTTTGCAAAAAATAGAGTGAAAATATCTCTTTCTATTTCTGTTTTGTAAGTTGTTTTATTTTTTCAGATAAGTATTGAAACATGAAATTTTGTGTTTTTACATGAAACATGCAAATTTGAACCTGAAATGTATCGAAAAGTAAGTAAAGAAGGTAAAATTTTCTTTGCATATTTTGGTATTGCATAGTAATATTGACTTTGTTTCCAATACACAGAGATCTTTTCTGTATCATATGCCCTTGAGTATTTATTATGTATTTGATATAGATAAGATTTATGGCTTACCTAGATTTTTTGTTGAATTAAGAGCTGGAAGATACAAATCAAATTTCACCTTGTCACTTTTGCAATTGAAGAGATCAAGGGTTGAAGTTAAATCCCTACTATAGTGATTGGCTTTAGGAGTTTTTACTAATATATACTGAATACTTGGAAATTATTGCGATGGTTTTATTATTGCTAAAATTTCAACATGATAGGAATCGCAAAAAATTAAAACTTGCATTTTATATTTTGATAGCATTGTAAATTTTGTTTTTAGCATTTCCTGAACTCGTGTTGATTGTTCAACAATCTCATATAATAAAGGAATGCAATCATTTCTGTATTTACAGTAATGTAAAACTGCGTAGGCCTCTGTCTCACCAAGGACCTCTTAGAATAATTTTAATTGGTTTTTATTGTCGAAAGTCACAGTATCCGAGACAGGTATTACTATCTGGTGGCAGCGGTGTAAATTGTTTGTATAAAGCTTTATATTTAAGAAGGTAGAAGACCTGGATGCTTATATATTGTATGCAAATACCTTATGTAACGAAGTTTTCGTCAATCATATATCCATTGTCCTTAGCTTATTTTCATGGTTCAAAATGATTTTTTTTTGTCATGTGAATTTCTCACTTATTATGAGTAACAGGATAACTATATTTGGTATATGGGTTCCTCGCAACGTCTACATGTCTGTTAGACAGAATTCACCTGACCTCAACCTCAATTCATGGATCAGTGATCAAGGTTAAAGTTACATGATTAGGTCCGTTTCTCAAATACTATAAGCAGTAGGTCAACTATATTTGGTGTATGGAATGATTGGAATGAGTACATGTCAGTCTGGCAGGTTTCATCTGACCTTGACCTCATTTTCATGGTACATTGCTCAATATTAAGTTTTTGTGTTTTTGTCTGTTTTTCAAGTACTATAAGCAATAGGTCAACTATATGTGGTGTATGGAATGATTGTAAGGTGTACATGTCTGCCTAGCAGTTATCATCTGACCTTGACCTCATTTGTATGGTTCAAAGGTCATTGTTAAGTTTTTGTGTTTTGGTCTGTTTTTCAAATACTATATAGCTAATAGCAATAAGTCAGCTATATTTGGTGTATGGAATAATTGTAAGGTGCACATGTCTGTCTGGCAGGTATAATCTGACCTTGACCTTATTTTCATGGTTCATTTTGGTGGGGTTCGTGTTGCTTAGTCTTTAGTTTTCTATGTTGTGTCTTGTGTACTATTATTTGTCTGTTTGTCTTTTTATTTTTTAGCCATGGCGTTGTCAGTTTATTTTCAATCTATGAGTTTGACTGTCCCTCTGGTATCTATCGCCCCCCTTTGTCAATGTTAAGTTTTTGTGTTTTGGTCTGTTTTTCAATTAGCATACCAATAGGTCAACTATATTTGGTGAATAGAAAAATTGTAAGGTGTATATGGCTGTCTGACATGATTTATCTGACCTTGACCTCATTTTCATGGTTCTTTAAAGATGTTAAGTTTCTGTAATGCTTTTAGTAAAACCTTTATATTTAAAACTTTCAACATAAAATTAATGGTCAGTAAAGCAGGCAAGACATTTCAGCGTGTGCACTCTTGTTTTAATCATATTGAAGAGGGACAATGGGTTTAAGTATTCTAGGAATCAAAGAAAAGTAAATTTTGTACATTATTTGTTGACAGATACATGTATCTGATCCTTTAATCAATAATTTTATTTTTATTTTTCAGCTCTTACAATTTCCACATTATTAGAAACAATCCTTGGTGTGTTAGATGACAGTTCCTCTGTTGCTGTCAGACTGGCATTGTCAGCATTACAACTATGCATTCATGATTTGTTACTAAGTGTGGATAGTAACATAGGTTTACAAGCTTTGCTTAAGTTACTGGAAATCAGAGAAAATCCATACTGGTTAGTCAAGGTAAGTCTTCTCTCAGATAAGAAAAAAAATGTACTGGTTAGTCAAGATAAGTCTTCTCTCAGACAAGAGAAAACTTGTACTAGTTAGTCAAGATAAATCTTCTCTCAGACAAGAGAAAATATTTGTACTGGTTATAGTCAAGGTAAGTCTTCTCTCAGATGAGAAAAAGATTGTACTGGCTAGTCAAGATAAGTCTTCTCTCTGATAAGAAGAAAATATACTGGTAAGCCAATGTAAGCCTTCTCTCAGATAAGAGAAAATGTGTACTGGTTAGTCATGGTAAGCCTTCTTCTAGAAGGTCGAACATTTGTACTGGTTAGCACAACAATGATACCTGCTCTAGACAAACGTTTATAGTGATATAGATTGATTAGTTGGTTTTGCTTGCTTAACGTTCATTGGCAAATATTAGAGATATAGAAGACTTTTGTTGTATGATGCAATGTATCTTTTTGTAGGTAGAGATATTGGATTTGATTGGATCTATCAACTTCAGAGTGGTTACACATTTAGAATCTTGTTGTGACGATGTACAAAAGGGAGACAATCACTATCTAGGAGTAAGTACACAAGTTAAAACAAATTTTTTAAGTAACAAAAGACTAGAAGATTGTACCAGTAACAAAAGACTAAAGAAGTATCAAAGCAATTCACCATTTTATTTTGTCTGCCATTGAAGAAAGTAAATCAATTTTCCAGTAATTGTCTAACAGTAAGTTTTTGATGTCACTGACTAAAAGAGATTATTTGGCAAATAACATTTAAAAAAAAAAATGAAAAAACTTTTAGTACAGTTGCAAATCAAAAAGATCAAATCCGCAGTTGACATTTGATTGTTGCAATCCACAAACAAAGTATCGAGGACTTTGAGTGTGTTTCTCATCATTTTTTTCCAAAATCTTTGTTGTTTAATCTGAATATCTGTTATGCATGAAGTATAAGGAATTTGTAGTTTTGTTCTGACAAAAAATCATCACTGAATTATGTAATTGGTGGTTAAGAGCTTGTTAAAAGGTAAAAATGATAAATATCAGAAGCTGCCAAACAAAATTTAAAACTCAATTCAGAGGAAGGAGTATTTTTGGAAGTTGATAAAAAATAATGACAGTAGGAAATAAGGTAAAATGTACAAGTGACTATAGAATGTTATCCTGACTTTGTTGGATATAAAAAGTGAATGTCTTGATGTTTTTCCATCGATAGATCTCATATATTGTTTAATTTTTTCTTCAGAAATTAAATTTACAGAAGCGAGTTGTGTCAGATATCATTATGGCCTATTTTGGTTCAGATGACACCAGAGTGCGTCACAATGCTGCACAGACACTTGTCAAGTAAGTTCTAATGAAACAAGAGTATGTCACAATGCTGCATAAACACTTGTGATAGTATTGTACTGCTACTCAGAGGTTTTTGAAATGAGTTTAAAAGATGCCATAATATAGTATTTAGGCTCTTAACATACAAAGAACCAAGTCCAAGATAAGACATTTACATTTAATCTTGGTTTTCATTTATCTAGGATCATATAGAAGTCTGTGTATGTTTGAGATTCCAATATGATCACAGAACTCAATGAGTTTCAATGAATTTCAATTGTTAACATCTTTAACTTTGAGTTTTTATACGACCGCAAAAAAATTTTTGTGGTCGTATATTGGTATGACGTTGGCGTCGTCGTCGTCCGGCGTCGTCGTCGGCGTCGTCCGGCGTCGTCCGAAGACACATTGGTTTTCGCACTCTAACTTTAGTTTAAGTGAATGGATCTTTATGAAATTTTACCACAAGGTTCAATACCACAAAAGGAAGGTTGGGATTGATTTTGGGGGTTATGGTAATAACAGTAAAGGAATTAGGGGCCAAAAATAAGCATTTTTGTAACTTCCAGACATAACTTGTGTGTTAGTGTATGGATCTCTCTGACATTGTACCACAAGGTTCCATATCACTAAAGGAATGCTGGGATTGATTTTGGGGGTAATTGCCTCCAAATTTTAGGAATTAGGGGCCAAAAAAGGGGCAAAAAACAAGCATTTTTCTAGTTTCATGACAATAACTTGTGTGTAAGTGTATGGATCTTTCTGAAATTGTACTACAAGGTTCCATATCACAAAGGGAAAGCTGGGTTTGAGTTTGGGGGTAATTGCCCTAAACGTTTAGGAATTTGGGGCCAAAAAGGGGCCAAAAAACACATTTTTTTCTAGTTTCCAGACAATAACTTGTGTTCAAGTGTATGGATCTCTCTGAAATTGTACTGCAAGGTACCATACCACAAAGGGAAGGCTGGGATTGAGTTTGGGGGTGATGAATCATAATGGGGGTTCAAAAAATTTTGGGGGGGGATTTATTTTTTTTTCCTTTTTTTTCTTTTTTTCCTTTTTTGTTTCTTTTAAAATTTTCCATTTTAAGTTGGTTATTTCTGATTTATATTTAAAATCAAATAATAATGATATGGTAGGAGATACACACCAAACAGGATGTGTAAATTATTATATAATAAGTATTGTGCAATAGCAAGAAATTTTCAATTGCACAGTATTGCACAATAGCAAGAAATCTTCAATTGCACAGTATTGCGCAATAGCAAGAAATCTTCAATTGCACAGTATTGCGCAATAGCAAGAAATATCCAATAGCACAATATTGCGCAATAGCAAGAAATTGTCAATTGTACAGTATTGCGCAATAGCAAGAAATATTTAATAGCACAGGATTGTGCAAAAGAAGATACTTCCTATAAATTGCTTATTTCTTGACCAATTTCAATGGGGTTTTATTCTTGATTTCATGGGGTTCTTTGATATGCTGAATCTAACCGTTTATTTAGTTTTTGGATTTTGGGCCCCGTTTTTAAATTGGTCCACATTGAGGTCCAAAGGGTCCAAAATTAAACTTTGTTTGATTTCATCAAAAATTGAATTATTGGGGTTCTTTGATATGCCGAATCTAACTGTGTATTTAGATTCTTAAATTTTGGTTCCGTTTTCAAATTGGTCTACATTAAGGTCCAAAGGGTCCAAAATTAAACTTAGTTTGATTTTAACAAAAATTGAATTCTTAGGGTTCTTTGATATGCTGAATCTAAACATGTATTTAGATTTTTGATTATGGGCCCAGTTTTCAAGTTGGTCCAAATCGGGGTCCAAAATTAAACTTTGTTTGATTTCAACAAAAATTGAATATATAGGGTTCTTTGATATGCTGAATCTAACCATGTATTTAGATTTTTGATTTTTGGGCCCCGTTATCAACTTTGTCCACATTGAGGTCAAAAGGGTCCAAAATTAAACTTTGTTTGATTTCATCAAAAATTGAATTATTGGGGTTCTTTGATATGCCGAATCTAACCGTGTATTTAGATTCTTAATTTTTGGTTCCGTTTTCAAATTGGTCTACATTAAGGTCCAAAGGGTCTAAAATTAAACTTAGTTTGATTTTAACAAAAATTGAATTCTTAGGGTTCTTTGATATGCTGAATCTAAACATGTATTTAGATTTTTGATTATGGGCCCAGTTTTCAAGTTGGTCCAAATCGGGGTCCAAAATTAAACTTTGTTTGATTTCAACAAAAATTGAATATATGGGGTTCTTTGATATGCTGAATCTAACCATGTATTTAGATTTTTGATTTTTGGGCCCAGTTATCAACTTTGTCCACATTGAGGTCAAAAGGGTCCAAAATTAAACTTTGTTTGATTTCATCAAAAATTGAATTCTTGGGGTTCTTTGATATGCTGAATCTAACCATGTATTTAGATTTTGGATATTGGACCATAATAGGTGAATGTCCAATTTAAAATTTTTAAGTTCTTAGACCACATTCAATCTGTGTTAGAAACCTATGCTGTGTCAAATATTTAATCACAATCCAAATCCAAAGCTGTATCAAGCTTGAATGTTGTGTCCATACTTCCCCCAACTGTTCAGGGTTCGACCTCTGCGGTCGTATCAAGCTGCGCCCTGCGGAGCATTTTATTTTTTGTGTTTTTGATTTTGATAAAAGTAGAACAACTTCAAAAGGGACATCTTAGATTGTATTGTTTTCAAAACCTGTTGCCCAAAAGACTATTGGAAGTTCATGGAATGATTTCTTAATAGAATTTTAATTTTTAACATTACTGTAGAGCATTCTGAATTTATACTTAGTAAATGTATGTGCAATCTTGTTTTGAAGTAAAGTAACAACAATAGTTATAACATGATTTTAGACTATTTACTTGCTCACTTGGTATATATTATTTTTTTTCAGATTAATTCCAAACCTGTTCTTTCCTGTTGATCATTCCCAACATGATCCCATTATAACAGAATCAAGATTCCAAGTTGAGGGACTGATGTGCCATGTAACTAGAGATAGCAGTCTAGATTTGCCTCCCCTTGTTCTCGGTCTAGTCAAACCATACCATGTGATAAATCATGTGCCTGTCCAGTCTGATGTAGAGAGTAATTTATCAAGAGTTGTTATGAACCTACTACACATTCTAAATATGTCAGACTCCAAACAGCTGACAGTAAGTTTACTTTGATGAAAACTATTTTAGAATTTCATGGTTGATAGTTGTTCTTCTTGCCCTTCCACTCTCTGTCTGCTTGTCCAGACAATTAAAAAAAAAACCAAAGGACCCAATTTGTTTAAACTTTTGCAGAATATTATGAATGACTAGGGTATTAGTTTATTTTTAATTGATTTTCATAGCATGTTATAAACCACAAAATACATTCTTTGTTTTATTCTTGCCAATTTCCCCTTGAACATTCCAGAGTTATAGTCCTGTATTTCTTTAAAAATTTAAAAAAATATTTTTGGATGATGCAGAGTAAAGTACTGAACCAAATTGATTGAAATTTTAATCAACCACAAAATACAGGTGACTGTTGATTTTTGTAGATTTCCATTTTAACTTCCCAAAGTTACATTCCTTTATTTTCTGGAAAATGATAAAAACAGTAATGATTTCTGAATGATATAGAGAGAATCACTGCATCAGATGGATTGAAATTATAATGGAATGAATTTGATTACAAAATATGTAAGTCCAGAATGATTTGCTACATTTTCTTGCGATTTTAATGTTTGTGTTCAAAAGCTATGATCAGTTATTATTTATTTCCTGAAATATTTCCAAAGTTTAGGATTCCAGAGGATTGTCATGTCAAATTGATTTAAATTATTTTGAGAATTTCTAGCTAAGCTGGGTTAAGTATTCCTAAAAACAAGGATTTGAACAATGTTTTTATGCCCCCGCCGTAGCGGTGGGGGCATTAAGTTTTACCCTTGTCCGTCTGTACGTACGAACGTACATCCCAAAATTGGTTTCCGTTCTCTAACTTGAGTTTGCTTCAACCAAATGTTATCAAACTTATACACGATGCTTATTACCACAAAACACAGATCAAGTTTAAATTTTGGTGGCGTCACTTTAACCGTTCTAGAGTTATGCCCCTTTATAAATGGAAAAATTGCAAAATTTTTAGTTTCCGTTCTCTAACTTAAGTTTGCCTCAACCAAATGTTATGAAATTTATACACAATGCTTATTACCACAAAACACAGATCGAGTTTGAATTTTGTTTGCGTCACTTTAACTGTTCTAGAGTTATGCCCCTTTATAAATGGAAAAATTGAAAACAAAAATATTTTCTTCTAAATATCAAGTAATTTTTACAAAAATTGGAGTTATCTTCCTTTGTCCATGATTATAGTTGAATCAACTACAATCAATGCTTTATACAATGCAATGTTTAATTTTGACTTCCACTGATAAAACACAGATCAAGTTAAATTTGGGTAGTGTCACTTTAACCATTATTGAGTTATGCCCCTTTATAAATCGAAAGATTGCAAAATTTTTAGTTTCTATTCTGTAACTTAAGTTTGCCCCAACCAAACATTATGAAACCTATACACAATATTCATTACATGTACTACAAATCTAAGATCAAGTACAAATTTTTTGTTTCCGTTTTCTTACTTTAGTTTGCCTCAACCAAATGTTATGAAACTTATACACAATGCTTATTACTACATAATACAGAGTAAGTACAAAATTTGGTGGTGACACTTTTACCATTCTTGAGTTATGTCTCTTTATAAACATAAAAATTGCTGAATTTTTCGTTTCCCTTCTCTAACTTTCGTTTGTCTCAACCAAATGTTATAAAACTTATACACAACCGTTCTAGAGTTATGCCTGTTTACAAATAGAAAATTTGCTGAAATTTTAGTTTCTGTTCTTTACTTAAGTTAGCCTCAACCAAATGTTGTGAGACTTACACACAATGCTTATTACCACAAAACTCAGATCAAGTTCAAATTTGGGTAGCGTCACTTTTACCGTTCTTCAGTTATATCCCTTTATAACTATATGATATGCAAGCGGGGGCATCATCTGTGTCCACATGTGGACACTATCCACATTTATTTTGATTTCAATTCATCACAAAAAGTATTCCTACAAACAAGGATTTTCGTGGATTTAGAAAAAATGGTAGTTTCATTATTTCATGGTTTTGCCAGAATTTATGTACAAACCTGTAGAAAATTTGTACTTCGGCGATCATTTAAATTTTTGATTTACCTTTACTCACGAAATCCACAAAAATTAGTATCCCACAAATAAAAGTAAACACCTTTTATATAACTACCTGATACTACCAAAGCTGTTCTACATAAGCAAGCAATAAAGGAACAAAATATTTATATAATATTGTACTGAGTTTATATTTTTGTTTGTATTGCAGTATGGGTGTTGTCATGCCTTATGTCTACTATCTGAGACCTACCCAGCCACAGTCTACTGCCACTCATGGTGTTGTGGTCCACCTACCCCATTGGTACCTAAAGATAGTACAGCCAAACAAACCAGTAAACGTCCTCCATCAAGGTCACTAAGTTCATCAAGGTGAGTGATTCGATTTTCAATCCATGGAAGTGTGGTGAAAAAACATCATACTAATAGTTAAAGATAATAATGGATAAACTAGAATACATTCTTCAACAACAATCACTTTGTTCATCAAGATGATTAACTCTATCCTGACTTCTGCCACTCAAGGTACTTATAGTTAGTCCCAATAGACAAACTAGATGACGTTCTCCATCAAGATCATTTATGAATAAAATTAGAAGTTGAGTATATGTCAAACGACACATATAACCAAGGACATTTAGAGGTCAACATACAGTCTTCAACAATAGATAGGTGTCTATACAATATCTCAATCTATATTAAAATGATCCAGAGTCTAAAAAAGTTGTGAATAAATTATTAAACAGAAACATTCATCAAATATCTTCCCCATCAATACTGAAGTCTCCAAACAACCAAAAAATAGTAAGATACTGTAAATTCAGAAATTACAGTATGAGCTAAGGCAACCACCGACAAGGTTCTTAGCTTATGACATACACTCACATGTTTTTTATGTCAGGCTAAAACTTGGTTCATCAAGGGGAGTTACCTCCTTCTTGCTTACTGTCATTTTAATGTTTTGGTACACACAACTCAGTGGTTTATAAAGAAAGTTCAACCAAATAAACCAGCATACATTTTTTGTTACATTGTAACAATCTTTCTATTCTTTATTTTATTTTGAACGAGACCAAAACATGGATGATGTGACCATTAGATCAGGTGGTGTAGTTCTGACCATTGTCCTGTCTTTGTTGATATCACTCATACTCAGATTTTATTATTTATTTGCAGTACCCATAGTATAGATGAGATGACCACTGGCTCTGGTGGTGGACTTTTGACCATTGTCCTGTCCTTGTTAACCTCACACATGGTCAGTCTGGACATTAAAGCTCATAGTGATGCTCTGAAGCTGGCAGGAAATCTAGTAGCTGGTTTGTATACAGTCTAGTACAGTTAATTCAAAGGTCTGGTAAATCCACCCTCCAAATATATTCCTATATGTCATTACTGTTTGTAGTGTAACATTACTTCTGCTACAGTTGGAATTAACTTCCAGAAAATGTATATCATTTATACAATAAATTACTGCAGTTAGATAAATAATTGTAATTTTTTTTTTCATATGGATGCTTGTGCATTATGTGTAATCTTCTATTCAAAGATGGGCTTCTGAAAAGTACTAAAATCACTCTGTTCAAAAATTAACATTTACTATATAACCTTTATTACAAGAAAGATTGTGCTTTGTAGAGGCCTTTTGGAATGACACAATATAGGATTTAAATGCAAACCAATCATTATGAATGAAATTTATCTAATTTACCAGATTTTTCTACATTTTCTATTTTTTTAACACACCAAAAGCTATCACATTAAGTTCACTCCAAAGAAGCTATTAAATTACCATTATTCATACTTTGCTGGGAAAACCATATTTGGTTGAAATTTTTATGACCCTGCAACTAAAAGTTGGGGGCATATTGTTGTCCCCTGTCCGTCTGTCCGTCCTATCGTCCGTCCTTCCATCCGTCCTACCGTCTGTACGCCCTTCCGTCCGTCTGTCCCATTTTGGGTATATAGTTATTCCACATAACTCCTCCTACAGTTTGAATGCTAGGAAGTTTTCACTTTGCTGGCTGTTTGTACATATATTGAAGGTGTGCATGTGGTCAGGGATTTGATTTTTTATCAATATTTGCTCTTTTGGGAGATAGTTGAACTTTGTCATTATTTTGTGTATTTTAAAATAACACTTTGCCTCTGCGGGGGCATCAGTTGTGTCTCCCAGACACAATAATATCTCAAAGAAAGTCCTGCATTGACTTTGTTATAAAACAGTTATATCTTTAATAAAAACTATAAGACAGGAATATTTACCAGACAGCATGGTATTGTAAAAATGTCAAAACATACATGTAAGATATAATCTTTCACTTTAATATTTAACAAAGCAGAACCTGACAGTGAAAAATTACAATGAATCAAGAGGAGACTTCTTATAAAGTTTTAATAATACATATAAATATGGTTGAAAATGTTGACAAAAGTCACATATTCAATATCAGATGTTCTTGAAGCAAGATATTGATTTGGAAAGATATCATTAACGTAGATGATTTCAAACAAAATCATGTTTGGGAATTCAAGCAAAAAACAATCAATTAATCAATCAATCAAAAAACAATAAATTAATCAATCAATCAAAATCATTTTTTAGGAGCCACATATAAGTCCTTAAAAGTTATAGATGATAGTCATCATACAGAAGAACATCCTGAAACTAAATGGGCAGCAATCTCTGACAGAGTACTGGTTCCACTAATAGATCAACTGTTTACTCATATAGCAAGGTAAGTGAATGGAAACCTGGTATCCTGTTTGATAGAATAATGGTTTCTTCAATTTCAGATGTTTACTTTTTAACACACTATATTACCATCTATCAGAATTGCAGATGCAATAGGTAACACAGATTAAAATCATCTGTACACAATTGCAAAATACATTGTACGTGTATTGCAATGGCAACCGGAATAGCAGACACAGATATGCTGTACATGATAGCAAAAATGATTGTTTTTAATGGCAATCAGGAACACAGATCCTGTTGTAGCTGCTGTAGTCAAAGGCAGTAATAGGGTGTGTTTAATATCAAAACTTATTGGTATGGTATTGGATATCACAAAATTCTAAACTAAGAAAATGTAATGTTTCAAGTTATTGTGTAATATTATTGAAATCAACTGATCTTTATTTTATGTAGACAGAATGGTCAAGAAATTTTAACCATCCCCTGAATTCTGAATTCTTTATAAAGAGACTGAAGTATAGTTAATATTGAAATTCTTTAAATCTTTGGTTTGATGTTAATAAAAGGAGATGTGGGTAATACATAAATAAGACAGCAACCCAATGACGTAAACCAAGTTACTTAAAGACATCTCGAGTTAAACATGCTATCTTCATCAGTAGACAGGTATCTATACAATATTTCAAGCTTTAATTTGATGAAAATCTTTTTTAAAAACTTTTAACAGAGACTATCCATGATCTGCCATTAACACCAAATCCCCTAAATGTATATTTTGTCTTATTAGAATATAATGGGAAATGCTTTTTGTTTTTCAGGTTGCTGAACATATTTACACATGTAATAGAAGAAAATGTGCCTGGTCCTCCACAGATGAAACCCACCTTACCCTCTTTACCAAATGCTCCTTCTTTGAGTCCGATTAAACGTAAATCTAAGGCAGAAAACTCACCAGGTGGCACTACAACTACGCCAGATAAATCAACACCTCAAAAACAACCCAAAGGTATCTTGAACATGCATGTGAATGTAACAAGTACAAAATTGTTGATATGCACATTTAGTCAATAACTCAAAAAGAAACAGCTGGCTCTTCTAATTCATGTTCAAAATTGAATTTATCAAATGAAATGTGATCTATTGAAGAAAAACACAGTAAATCTAATGACAGATCGTTTACTCAATGCTCAGCAATTCTTTTTTATGCCCCTGCCGTAGCGGAGGGGGCATTAAGTTTTACCCTTGTACGTCCCAAAATTGGTTTCCGTTATCTAATTTTAGTTTGCCTCAACCAAATATTATGAAACTTATACACAATGCTTTTACCACAAAACACAGATCAAGTTTGAATTTTGGTGGCATCACTTTAACCGTTCTAGAGTTATGCCCCTGTACAAATGGAAAAATTGCTAATTTTTTTGTTTCCGTTCTCTAACTTCAGTTTACCTCAACCAAATGTTATGAAACTTATACACAATGCTTATTACCACAAAACACAGATCAAGTTTGTATTTTGGTGGCGTCACTTTTACCGTTCTAGAGTTATGCCCCTTTATAAATGGAAAAATTGCTGAATTTTTCCTTTCCATTCTTTAACTTTAGTTTACCTCAACGAAATATTATGAAACTTATACACAATGCTTATAACCACACAACACAGATCAAGTTTGAATTTTGGTGGCGTCGCTTTTGCCGTTCCTGAGTTATGCACCTCTACAAATGGATAAATTGCTGAATTTTTCGTTTCCATTCTCTTACTTTAGTTTGCCTCAACCAAATGTTATGAAACTTATACACAATGCTTATTACCATAAAACACAGATCAAGTTCGAATTTTGGTGGTGTCACTTTTGCTGTCCTAGAGTTATGCCCCTCTACAAATGGAAAAATTGCTGAATTTTTCGTTTCCTTTCTCTTACTTTAGTTTGCCTCTACAAAATGTTATGAAACGTATACACAATACTTATTACCACAAAACTCAGATCAAGTACAAATTTGAGTAGCGTCACTTTTACAGTTCTTGAGTTATATCCCTTTATAACATTATATGCAAGCAGGGGCATCATCTGTGTCCCATGGACACATTCCCCATTTATTTTTTTTTAGAAAAATGCAAGAGTTTTTTAAAATATCAATTACTGCCTTTAAAATGTATCATAACATGAAAACTTTGTTTTGTTGTATTATTTTTTTCCATCGGGAACATATTATTTGGCAATTTACATATAAATATAAGCAAGTATCTGTATGGAAAAAAAATACATTATTTTTATCGTCTGTGTACTTACATGTATTTCAGAAAAAGAAAAAGAACCAGAAAAAGATAAAAATAAGAAAGATGCAATAGGGTTATTCTATAATACTCCTCATTATATGAAATTATATGAAGTGTTCAAGGGAGCTTACTCAAATTATCAGGTAAATATGTTCTTATTATTTAAACCATCTTTTATGAAAATTTGTGTAGACTAGTTTGAAAAAAGACAACAAATGTTGCAAAGCTAGTCATAGCTTTTACTGTTTCAGTTAACAATATCAAGGTCATCAGCGTCTTATGTTTAGTTGTCTGATCAGGGCCATTCCTGAATAAGTACTTAAGATACACCATTGATATCCACTCCCATATGCAAATTCATGGTACATAGGTAAATAACTTTTAAATGCAAGTTGACTTTTATTACAAAAATTATCTGAGTAACACCCTTAATTATTCCATTTTTTAGCTCACCTGACCTGAAAGGTCAAGTGAGCTTTTCTCATCACTTTGCGTCCGTCGTCCTGCGTCTGTCGTCCGTCGTCCGTAAACTTTTACAAAAATCTTCTCCTCTGAAACTACTGGGCCAAATTTGACCAAACTTGGCCACAATCATCATTGGGGTATCTAGTTTAAAAAATGTGTCCGGTGACCCGGCCAACCAACCAAGATGGCCGCCATGGCTAAAAATAGAACATAGGGGTAAAATGTAGATTTTGGCTTATATCTCTGAAACCAAAGCATTAAGAGCAAATCTGACAAAGGGTAAAATTGTTTATTAGGTCAAGATTTATCTGCCCTGAAATTTTCAGATGAATCGGACAACCTGTTGTTGGGTTGCTGCCCCTGAATTGGTAATTTTAAGGAAATTTTGCCGTTTTTGGTTATCATCTTGAATATTATTATAGCTAGAGATAAACTGTAAACAGGAATAATGTTCAGCAAAGTAAGATCTACAAATAAGTCAACTTGACCAAAATGGTCAGTTGACCCCTTAAGGAGTTATTGCCCTTTATAGTCAATTTTTAACCATTTTTCGTAAATTTTTGTAATCTTTTACAAAAATCTTCTCCTCTGAAACTACTCAGACAAATTTAACCAAACTTGTCCACAATCATCATTAGGGTATCTTGTTTAAAAAATGTGTCCGATGACCCCGCCCGTGAACCAAGATGGCCGCCATGGCTAAAAAATAGTACATAGGGTAAAATGCAGTTTTTGGCTCATATCTCTGAAACCAAAGCATTTAGAGCAAATCTGATGAGTATAAAATTGTTCATTAGGTCAAGATCTATCTGCCCTGAAATTTTCAGACCAATCAGGCAACCCGTTGTTGGGTTGCTGCCCCTGAATTGGTAATTTTAAGGAAATTTTGCCGTTTTTGGTTATTATCTTGAATATTATTATAGATAGAGATAAACTGTAAACAGCAATAATGTTCAGCAAGGTAAGATCTACAAATAAGTCAACTTGACCAAAATTGTCAGTTGACCCCTTAAGGAGTTATTGCCCTTTATAGTCAATTTTTAACCATTTTTCGTAAATTTTTGTAATTTTTTACAAAAATCTTCTCCTCTGAAACTACTAAGACAAATTTAACCAAACTTGTCCACAATCATCATTAGGGTATCTAGTTTATAAAATGTGTCCGATGACCCCGCCCGCGAACCAAGATGGCCGACATGGCTAAAAAATAGTACATAGGGTAAAATGCAGTTTTTGGCTCATATCTCTGAAACCAAAGCATTTAGAGCAAATCTGACATCGGGGTAAAATTGTTCATTAGGTCAAGATCTATCTGCCCTGAAATTTTCAGACCAATCAGGCAACACATTGTTGGGTTGCTGCCCCTGAATTGGTAATTTTAAGAAAATTTTGCAGCTTTTGGTTATTATCTTGAATATTATTATAGATAGAGATAAACTGTAAACAGCAATAATGTACAGCAAAGTTAGATCTACAAATAAGGCAACATGACCAAAATTGTCAATTGACCCCTCAAGGAGTTATTGCCCTTTATAGTCAATTTTTTACAATTTTTGTAAATTTTTACAAAGTATTTTCCACTGTATCTACCGGGCCAAGTTCATTATAGATAGAGATAATAGTAAGGAGCAAGAATGTTCAGTAAAGTAAGATCTACAAACACATCATCACCAAAACACAATTTTGTCATGAATCCATCTGTGTCCTTTTTTTAATATGCACGTAGACCAAGGTGAGCGACACAGGCTCTTTAGAGCCTCTAGTTCTTCTTATTTTACGAATGGCTAAGAATGCTGAACCCTATCATCTCCTCTTTTGAGCATTTATGTTGCATGTTCATTTCTTCTTTTATTTATTATAATTTTTATCAGATAATGAAAAGTCAACTTTTCAGTCACATAAACTTAATGCAACAATTTCCTAAGGTAAGTGTTAGATGATGATATAAACACTCCAGCTGTTACTTTCTATTACAGCGATCCTTAGACCTGAGTTCTACAGACAAGTTTTGTACAATATTGAAGACAGCTTTAGATGTATTATCACAGATATTAGAAATATCAACAATATCAGATATCGGGAAGTCTACAGAGGAGTTCTTAGGATACTTGAGAGTGACTGTTTCTCTGGAGCCTACTGTCTCCATTTTATGTGTACAACAGGTATAGTTCTTTTTATATTGCATGTATATAGAAATGCAGTATCCATGTTAGACTTGCAAACATAGAACTGTGGTTCAACCATTGCATAATAGAAAAGAAAGGATATGGGGTATCTATCCATGACAAATTCAGTATGTGCACAGCAAAAACACAAAAAGCAAAGGAACAGCGCTTTATTGCTGTTCTTCATCACAAAGTCACAATGAGGCCTTCAACACAAAGCAAAAAATACAGTCACTTCATTGCAAGTTTAAGATGGACCTTGGCACTGATTGGAACGGAATTCTTTGCAAACTGACGATCACGCCACAAATGTGAAGTACAAAGCTATGGAGTGATAAAAATAAAATGAATCTGGCAAAGAAATCAAACATGTACTGTCATAATTTAGCCTGACAATCACACTGAAGCTTACAAAAAACAATAAAAACATTAATACAAACACGGGGCACATCAAGATATATGTTGGATAACTTGACAGGAAATAACATAACATAATTAGTTTTACTAACATTCATTAACTTAAATTGAGAAGTGGGAAATACTGAAAGACATTTTCTGATTAACTGCTTTTATCTAGCAGAGCAAATATTATTCATTTCTAAACTAATGATCTTTCTATTGTTATAAATTTAGTTTCTCAGACTTAATCTAATAAGTTATCTCATTCTAAGGACATGTAAAATACATTTTCTGGTTCACAGATAATAACATTTAAAACAATTTGATGTATTTATTATATTCACACAGTATATATTCCCACATATGTTCATTCTATTTTAATTGGGGAATAAACAATGTAATGAGAAAATTAACAATTCAGTTTGCCGAAATACATTTGTACCATGTCACATACAACTTTTATTTATATTTTAACATGAATTATTATTGACATTGAAAGAGATTTATCTATCTTCTTATTACCATTGTTCTCTCTCTTCTGTTTTGTAGATGCTGAAAGGGTTATTTGGAACAAACATAGTAAGTCAGTGGGAACCTCAAAAACTACCAAACATTTCACATAAACCTGGAAAGGCCTCAAGACTGACAGGGAATGTCAAACCCGGACTGTATCATTACTGTTTCACTCAACCATATGCTCATTTTACTCAGTCATTAGCAGGAGCTACATTTAAAGCTACCTCTCAGGCAGAACCAGAGGATTCATTAAGGTAATAAAAAGGCATCATTTTAAAAAACTCATTTTGCTCAACTGTTTGCTTGTCATGATCATTTATGTGGAACGGTAAGGCCTCTAGCCTTATTGATTCGTTGTAGCAAAACTTCTCTTATTGATTAGAATAACAATAAAAAACTGTAGAATCTTTTTAGGGGGTATGCATTTTAAATTCGGCAATTCACTTGCAAAGTCACTTTTTCAAAAAAAAGTATTTAGAAAAATACTGAAATTTCAGGGTAAAATAAAAAAAAAGGGTAGTCCATAAAACCTGAAAAAAATCAAACTTTAGACTGTATCAACTAAAGGAATGAATGGAAAACAAATGTGATATAACTGACTTGGTACAGGCATTTTCCGAAGAAAATGGTGGGTTAAACCTTGTTTTGTAGCTAGCTAAACCTCCCACTTGTTTCAACTGTTACTTAATTACATGCCTTGTAGGAGAAAAGAAAGTTTTTATAAGATTACACCAAATGACCAAATAAGGAATATGAGAAGGTACTTTAATAAATATGCTGTAGGTGATTGGGCTTTTTTTTGTATCAACAAATATTTAGAATTTTCTTTCTATTTTGAGCCTACAAAATTCTCAATTAGTCTATTGCAAAGCAGAGTTTATATTCCTATCAAATTAATATGTTCTCATCCTGATGTGCATATAATTTGCTACTGACATCAAACAGTCAACCATCCAAAATATTTTCTGGAATTAGCCTAATCTTTTGTGATGATGGATGGCTGTTTAATGTATGTGGTGAATTAAATGCACATCAGGACTAGAACATGTTAATGTGATAGGAATATAAACCCTGGTTTGTTCTAGACCCACACACACTGAGTTGAATTTTAATGTGTTGGTTCACCAAAAAATATTACAGTCCACAGGAAGATATGTCATCCTACCTGCACTCATTATTATGACCCTGGGCTTACCAGTCCATGCTCTTACTCCTAATTGCTGCTTGCTTAGTCAAGAAGCAGCAGACACAAATTTTCAAGTCTTTGGTATGACCCAACTGTGGATCAAAACCAACAACCTCCTGCACTCTCTAAACTTTTATAACTTTGTTTTATTATTACAGCAGTTTGAACTGGATAAGAAAATGTGTGGAAAGAAAGATACCAGCCATTTTAAAGCCTAGCAGTAAAACAGATAAGGTAGGCATTTCTTATATTGTTCATTTATTTGTTAGAATAAGCAGTCCCATATTCTACAGAGTTCTTAATTCTATACAGTTCTTCTAAAAGTTGATTATTATCATCATATTCTACATAGTGGTATATCAATTCTATACATTTTTTACAAGTTCATTAATATCAGTTTTGTCAATACATAAAAGAAGAGTGCCCAAGGTTAACAAACTTTTTCAGGAATAAATGACATACACTATTGCAAACAGATAGATTGAGTTTGGTCTATTAGAGTATTGGTTTATTTAAGCAAAAGAACAGTTGAGCACAAGAACATATATCATTCAACCCATGATTTACAAACATAGAACAAATATTGCTGGTAAGAACACATTATTTATCAACATTCGACAGTTTTCCAAATTTTTATATTAGTAACAATTTAAAGCAGTCTGTGTCATAGATTTTTTAACTACCAAAATAATTTATCTTACGATACATTTACCTTTCAGTCAGCCATAGCAGCATACATTCGTCTTTTTGAACCTTTAGTGATAAAGGCCCTGAAACAGTATACAGTCACCAGTGTGGTACCACTACAGAGACAAGTTTTGGACCTTCTCTCTCAGCTGATACAATTGAGGGTCAACTATTGTTTACTGGATTCAGATCAGGTCTTCATAGGCTTTATCATCAAACAGTTTGAGTTCATAGAGGAGGGGCAGATCAGGTAGATAATACAGATGAAATTTATAGAAATAGAACACATGTAAAACGAACAATATTAGAATCTTGGATAGTAATGTCTTGTTTCATATATCAAACTGAAAGTAATGTAACATCATAATTTAAATTTTTATTAGGGTCCTGCTAACTAGTCAGCAAGGCCCTATAGTAATCACTCTGTCTCTCTGTCCCCCTGTCAGCACTTCTATGTCAGACAATTAGTCAAGATTGCCTATTATTTGTTAAAAAAAACCTGTTATGCTGTTCTATGGATTGACATCTGCAACAAATCCAGGCTATGTCTAATGGTATTCTGCCAAATTTATAAGGCTCAAGCAATGGAAAATGGGGCTTCTAGGAAGTGACTTCTTGTGTTGTTTCATGAACCTTATCTGATGATGCACACAAGCAAGCATATGTAAAGTCCAGATATGTTCCAAACATGAGGAAGAACATCTTATGTAAGTGTTAAGATGATGTAAAGACAATAAAATTACCATTTCAATTTGAAGATTAAAGTTTGCTAAATAGAAACATAGAAATTCTTAATTTTGGGTATTTTGATCATATTGAGCTTCCGTAAACTATTGCAGCATGGACTATTTTCTTCAAATGATGAATTAGAGGATCTGTTACCTAACATATTTAACTTCCTGGTTATGTTGTTTACACTTGGTTCTACTTTCTATTCCAGAGATTCAGAAGATCTGATACCTAACATATTTAACTTCCTGGTGATGTTGTTTACACTTGGTTCTACTTTCTATTTCAGAGATTCAGAAGATCTGATACCTAACATATTTAACTTCCTGGTTATGTTGTCCTATGAGAAGTTCCACAGTAAATCAGTGATAATGATGCCTAAGATTATACAGTTATGTGATGGCATAATGGCTAGTGGACTGGATCCTGTAACACATGGTAAATATTGCCATTGTTGTCAAAAGTAAATATTTTTTTTCTCTGAAATTACATGATAAGACACAAAAAACTGCTGAATTGAAAAAAACATTATTCCAGTTCACAAGAATGAAATCATTTGTGACATAGGTATTTGGTTATCTACATCCATATCAACCCCAAAAATGGACAAAAAATCAATGGACTACTTTAAATAATTCTTAGAACTTTGATAACATACATATCTTCACTGTATCTGTATCATAATGAATGACATGTAGCTAAAATAAGTAGGATGAAAGTGGAAAAATAATGTCAGGACTTTTTTAAACATTGTCCTTTTTTTTGGCTTCTTTAACTTCATAAACAAATTTGATTTGATTTCAGTGCTAATATATGAAACCAATTTATCATACTGTGTTGATATCCAATGTTCAGCATACTTCTTACTATACAGGAACATGGCATAAATATCTTAAATGTATTTGTCAAAATTTCAGCTATTTGACACATGAGTTGACAATATTTTGACTTTTGTTCAACAATATGATTTTTTTTTCTGTAAATTTTTCTGATAATACAACATTTTTAAAATCATTTTTACAGTTCACTTAGAATTGATCCTTCATGTCAATAAAACAATAACAATGTTGAAGTTGTTTTACCAGGCAACACATCTCATATTAAACTTCATTATTTCAGCTATTCCTGCCTTAAAGCCCATTGTATATGATTTGTTCTTGTTACGTGGAGTCAACAAGGCTGACATCAGTAAAGATTTAGAAACACAGAGAGAAGTTATAGTGTCTATGTTACTCAGACTCATCCAATACTATCAGGTAAGGTTTGGGACATTTTAGGGGCCTCGATGGCCGAGAGTCTCATGTAGTCAAACTACAGTATCACTAGCCTGTCAATACTGAGATTATCTAATCTAGTACTTAGCAGGTGTGCTTGACTTCAGTATTAATTTGACTAGGATTGTCAGTTTTCCTACTGAAAGTCGTGTTTCTTTCTCTACCAATAAAAACTGACTGTCACAAAATAGCATAATAGTTTTGAAATTGGCGTTAAACACCAATCAATCTAACTATGGGACATTTCATAGTAGTGTATTTTTTAACAGTTCACAAAATTATGCGAAAAATTCAAAAACAAGGTTATTCTAATACTGCATATGTAAGTTTTTAATTAACAAGACACATGAACAGGAATTTTCTTTTTATAAAATGGTGACATGATAATGATTTTTTTGTATTTTACTTAATTCAAAGTAGGGGACACTATTCGTAATGCAGTTAATACATTATATGGAACTATGGATGAACATCAACTGAAACAGAAAATCTTTAAGTCTCTATATAACTAACTATATCCCATTTTAATATATCAGAATAAGGAAATAAATTATTTTTATAGATACCAACCACTACTCCAACAAAACATGACAAAAGTTTTGTTTTTCACAAATATAAGGGAAAATAAATCAAAAAATGAATACATGAATGGACATCTTTTGTAGACTTTAGACATCCTAGTCATTGTATTACAACAAAGTCATAAAGAGAGTGAGGAGAGATGGAAACGTTTATCTAGACAGATTACAGATGTTATATTACCCTCTCTAGCTAGACAACAGGTAAGTTTGGATAAATTGATAGTAGGATCCTTGTGCAGAGGTAGAAAATTTTTAAGACCGATAACGTGTGTTATCATACTATTATACATGCAAAGAATAACAGCTATTACCTTGGATAGTACAACACACCAAATCAACCACCAGCACAGACTCCTCCAAGAATTTTTGCATTTTGAATCAAATTTAAATAAAGAAAACACTATATTGGCATATACTGACAAGCAGTAAATAGATTACCTAATAGTAAATGATATTTAAAAATTGTATGTATTGTGATGGTCACATGACCCTGTATAACTCCATTATTAGTCTGATTTTACTGACATTAAATGACATGTTTTTTCAGATAAATATGGATAATGCTGCTTCTTTAGATGTATTACACAGACTGTTTGAATCCCTAGCTCCTATTGTATTCAGACCAGTAGATATATTGCTGAAGACATTGTTACAAACCCCTGATACCTTGGTGAGTAAAGTGTAAGATTTTGCTATATCAAGGGAGTTAACTTTGATAAACAAACAAGCTGCCTTCCTAAAATGCTTTGTGCATTTTATGCTTTAGTCTGGCTTAAGAAAATAAATTGACATACTATACATGTTTTTTCATAGATTTATTTTCGTACATTCATTCGTCATCATTTGTTTAATCAAAATAACAAAAAAAATAGCACTAATATATTAGAGTTCACTTCACACTTCTTCATGATTTTTTTGTTTTTCCATAAAACATTTGGTAACATTTTTTAACACTCTCAGTAGTTCATTAATTATCTGCAAAGATATCATTTGCTATTACTGTTTATAACTTGATGCAAGTCTATAATTACCACTTTTTCTTAAAATAGACTTGGAAGTTCATATGTCTTGTTACCATGGTCATGAAATCCTTCTATTGTAGCTGTGATCCTCCTGTGTTTACTGAATATATTTCAGTTCTCCATACATGTATCTTTGATACACACTTTTCCAGGGCTTGGATGCCATGTATTTGTTGTACATCAGAGTTTCCTGTTTTATTCAGATTTGTTCAGTTGATTTTCCCCTGTTCTAATTGTTCCTTTCTCCATTTAATTCTTCTGTTCTGGAACCAGACTTTAACTTGTAATACAGTCAGGTTGAGGGATGCTGCAAATTCAATTCTGAAATAAAAGAGAAATTTTAGTTTGAGTTTCGCCTTGGATTTATGTCAAGTGGTAGTTATGCCTTCATGTTCCACACTCACAAAACCTCTGCAGATAGACAATGTACATACTCCTTATGATTTTCATACAAAAAAGGTTTAAATCTACCCATTTACTTGCAATCATTATATATCATAATTTGATAAAGAAAGCTACATACTTAGGTGTTAAAAATTATTGTAAGTTTCAGTTGTTAGGCTTCTAGATTTATTGAATGTGTAGATAACCATTGTAAATAACAATAATTGGCAAAGAAAGAATAGGAGGAGATAAGCTATGCAAATGATCTTTGATCTAATAAACAAAACAAACAAACCTTTCCTCTCCCACAAGGTATTGTTGTTTTTCAAATTCCATTTCCAGAGCATGTAATTGATGAGCTGTAAATGCTGTTCTGTTTCTCTTTCCTTTAGCTGACTTTCCTACTGTGTGTTGCTTGGTTTCTACAATAATAGAACAAATTTACAGATTTTTTTCAGGTTTTTTTTATAGATTTTAAAGATTCATGAGTTCTTTATTTACAGGAAGTTTAAATAGTCCCTTTCGGGATAATTTTGTTCTTGCAAATGTTGTTGGTTTATGATAAGGGAGGAACTTTCTCAAGTTTAAAGACCATATATAATCTGTTTATTGCTATTTTCATAATAAATGTCTATGAAACTATTCTCAGTCTAGTTGCTTGATATGGAAAATTATCACCAAAAAAATCAAAATAAAAATTTAAGAAAATAGTGATAATAATTATTATATGAGGTATAGATCACTTACCTGATAGAAAGGGTAGTTGTAAGTCAGTTTTATCAGGTGTTGTCAGATTTTGTCTTGGTGACAAATATGGATGTGGTCTATCATGTCGTCTGCTGACAGAAGACATGACTTTCCTACCTCCAAAACAGGAAACATAACCTTGATCTTTTGGGGTGAAATATCCATCTGATGATAATAAACTGGTATTCTTTGACTCTGGTGTACATAAATTGCTGTTGTTCATGTTGCTGCATCTCTTTTGGGAATCGACAGGAGTCTTGTACATGCATTTTAGTCCTGCAGGTGTTCCGTGACTCTCCTTTGTCATTGGACTGTAACATTCCTCAGGTCTGAAAAATCCACCAGTCATCATTGGACTGAAGTATGGTGCAACAGGCAGAAAGTTTTTGTAAGGAAGCAAGTGACCTTCAGATCCATCTTCAGTTTTGATGGGTATATAACTGTTAATATAGCTTCTCTCTGTTACTTGGTTGTCTGCTGTTCTCATCCTAGGCTCTTGCTTTATTAAAGTACCTTGTGTCTTCACGGGTGTGATATGGTCATTTCCAAAGCCGAGCTGATCTTTAGATATTTGATTACAACCAGAATACTGTTGTTGTATCTTTAGTTTCTTATTTTCCTGTTCTCCTAACAGAGCATCAATAGTAAATGCCTTGGCCTTGTCACTCAATTGTTGATTTGTAGTTGTACTTTTATAAACATGTGGAAAACTTGCGAATCCAGGTAGACTGTGATGAGATTGGTAGATAAATCCAGGAAAACCTCCATTGAAAAAAGGAGTAGATTGATTTGTATATTCCATCTTTAAACACTACTTATGATTATCAGTGATGATATTGAAGTAGAAAATGTTTGTGTTGTACTTCTGAAAGTTGTCATATTTATATTAGTTTGGAGTAATAATTTGATGACCAGTAATTAAATGATAATTACTTTGTAACAGGATTTTAAATTGATGGATCGATTTGATTGGTCAATGAGGTGCAGTAATTATTCTCCAATAGTCAGATGATATGTTTAGGTGTTAATACAGTATTGGTCAATTAACTAAAGGAAAACATTGCCTAAAGCAGTTAATGATGTTTTTTTTATTTTGAATATATTTGAATTTTATATTTGAAAAGAAAAAAAGATTTTATGTATTTCCAATAAAGAAAAACCCATTTTGATTGTAAAATTGGGACTAGTTGTGTATTTTTATAGCAAAGAAATTAAAATAATAAAATGCAGTCTAGTATATTATAAAATCTGTTAAATATTTAAAGTGCAAATTTGATTTTTTTAGGGTAATTTTGTAACCTTGTAATTGTGTTATTTTTTTTTTAAATTAACAATAAATTTTAATAATATATTTGAATTAAAAATGAAGTTTCTCTTTTCTCTGAGTATTGCAATGCTATATTTATATTACACAAATGATTTTTAAGTTAAAAGTTGTGAAATAATTCAGATCTAGGAATGTTAAGAACAGGAAAAAAAGATATAACAGATGCTTGATGCCAGGATTTTTTTTCTGAATTTGAAATAAGATGGAAAATATGTACAATTCTGAGAATTTCCAGTATGTTTGACAGTTTTGTTATGAATTCATTGCTCTTTTTTTTTCCATTGATATGGCTGCATAATATGAAATAATAACACATGTGTAGAATTAAAATTTCAAAACTCAGTCATTTTCAGGTGGTTTCAGGTTTTTTTTTCATATTCTGTGTCATCTGAATTTTAGGAAAATACACCTAACAGTAAATGTTCTCTCTTTACTTGATTAAACATATTTGCATCGCAAAAAATACAAAAGCATCATACAATATTTTTTATTTTTATTCTTCAAAATTAAATATACATCACTCTTGACTTGATTGAAGGTAATTTTTGTTTAAACTATAAAATTTGCAAACTCTTAAGTCAATTGAGCATTTATTTTCTTTTGAAAACAGAAAGCTTTAGGATCTGGAAAAATCATTCATGAAATATTTTCACAGGATGTGTATATCGGAAAAAAGAGGAATAGAACTCATGTTGTGATATTTTATAGAATTGTGAAGATAAAAACAGTACAATTTGTTGATCAAATTTCAAAATATGACTTTTGATTTGATAATTAATATTGTGTTATGATATGTAAACTTCTTGTGATATTTTGACAAACATAATTAGAAATGATAACAATATGATTATTTTCCCATTTCATAACCTGTAGGAAATATGATTTACTAGTGATATAATTCACACATAATAATAAAAAAAAGATTGAAGCTGTAGAAATGTAACACTTTATTAGTGGAATGATTACATGTAATTACATGTGTATAATAGATGGAATCATTGTTTAACAGTATATTAGTGGAATAATTACATGTAATTACATGTGTTGTACACTTTATTAGTGAGATAATTGTTTGTAATTATAACAGATAAAATCATTGTTTTGCACTTTTTTCAATGTCATCCTTTCCTGTCTGTCTTCAGGCTTTTCCTGTACATTTGTTAAATCATGAAAATTAGAATAGTGAAGCAGATACACCTAAATTGAATACTGAATATCCAAAATGTAAAATAGATGAGCACTAAAAAATATTGCTGAACAAAAAAATATAAGATGTGAGATCAGAAAAACAATTCAAACATAGAATTATTTTTATTTGATATTAGCTATGAATTTTGTCTTGGTTACCCTTTTGGTCAAAATGTCAAGCACAAAAAAGTTCAGATTTATTATGTACAGATGGTTCTTTGATTTAGTCATTCTCTGTCAAAAGCCTATACACCCTATGCTTAGTATGTTAGACGTTTGTGACCAACATTATACTTTTCTCATCAAAAAAGTTAAGGAATTAGAAATAAATTTGATAAGATATCCAATAATTCCATATTTCACACGTAATGAAACAAAAAAGATTGAAGCTGGAGAAATGTAACACTTTATTAGTGGAATAATTACATGTAATTACATGTGTTGTACACTTTATTAGTGAGATAATTGTTTGTAATTATAACAGATAAAATCATTGTTTTACACGTTTCAATGTCCTCCCTTCCTGTCTGTCTTCAGGCTTATCCTGTACATTTGTTAAATCATGAAATTTAGAATAGTGAGGCAGATACACCAACATTGAATACTGAATATCCGAAATGTAAAATAGAAGAACACTAAAAAATATTGCAGAATAAAATATAATATGAGATTAGAAAAACATTAAAACAAGGCTTTATTTTAATTTCATATCAGCCAGGAATTTTGTCTCTATAATCCTGTTGGTCAAAATGTCAAACACGAACAATTTGAGATTTATTCTTTATTGATAGTTCTTAAATTTTATTATTCTCTGTCTAAAGCCAATCTACCCAATGATCAGTATGTTTTGATGTGTGTGACCAACATTATACTTTTTTCATCTGAAAAATTCAGGAATTAAAAGTAAATATGAAAAGATATATCCAATTAATTTGTGATGACACATTACTTTAGCTGTATTTTTCAAAACCTTTCGGAATATTTGGTCTTCAATGCTCTTCAATTTGTACTTTATTTGGCCATTTAACTTTTTTAATTCGAGCGTCACCGATGAGTCTTTTGTAGACATTTAAAGTGCCTGTCTGGCGTACAAAATTACAAGCCTGGTATCTTTGATGAGTTTTATTTACTATGTATTACAGGGATCTGTAGAAAGTCTGCAGCGATGGCTCTGTATGGTTTTATCTTTACTAAGGGTACTAATGGCTCACTCAAAGGAGGAAGTCATTCTGACCAGGATGCAGGAGTTAAAACTAAAGCTAACTGTGTTCAAAGTGACTGCCTCAGAACTTTCAGAAGAGGAGAGACTTTTGGTATTAGCCTTCACTCCAGAGGAAACTATAGCTTGGTAAGTGTTTAAAATTTGAGACGTCAAATGTGTAATTTACTGATTCTATTTTCACAATCTGGTCCCCTTTAATAATACCTAACAAAACAAAGTTGTGGAGGGTATGCAGTTTTAAAGTCAACAGGTTGTCATCCTTGGTTGTTTTGTAGGTCATGCCCTCAGTTCTTGTTGCGTTCCCATGAAATTCAAAAACAGATTTTTAAAGCTTAGAAGAATCAGGCAAACATGAAATTGGGGAAGCATCTTTATGCCCCCGCAATTAAAAGTTGGGGCATATTGTTTTACCCCTGTCCTTCGGTCTGTCCTTCCGTCTATCCATCCTTCCGTCCATCCCATTATGGGTATATAGTTATTCCGGTTAACTCCTCCTACAGTTTGAATGCTAGGAAGTTTTCACTTTGCTGGCTGTTTGTACATATTTTGAAGGTGTGCATGTGATCAGGGTTTTGACTTTTATTAATATTTGCTCTTTTGGGAGATAGTTGAACTTTGTCATTTTTTGGAGTATTTACATGCATAAGAGGAGCATTTCCAGATAACTCCTCCTACAGTTTGAATGCTAGGAAGTTTTCACTTTGCTGGCTGTTTGTACATATATTGGAGGTGTGCATGTGGTCAGGGTTTTGATTTTTGTTAATATTTGCTCTTTTGGGAGATAGTTGAACTTTGTCATTTTTTGAAGTATTTACTTGCATAAGAGGTGCATAGCGTTTCCGGTCAACTCCTCCTATAGTGAACCATAGGCCTATGTGCTCCCATGCTCAACTTTGTGTATTTTAAAATAACACTTTGCATCTGCGGGGGCATCATTTGTGTCGCCCAGACACAATAATATCTCAAAGCAAGTCCTACATTGACTGTGTTATAATACAGTAACTTCAGATTGGAGTGTGGGTGCATCACTTTGTCTAGTTTAAGTGGGCTTTGACTTTTACAAATATCCCATTATTAAGCATGTTGTCTGGATAGAGTTTTTTTTTAATTTTAATATAGGTTAGCTTATCTTATATGTTCATGAAGTCAAAAATCCAATCTGAGAAATATTTCTGGAATGGAGAGTTCTACACATATTATGTAATTGTTTGGTTTTTTTTTTAGCCCCCGCTGTGTCATTTTCTGCAAAATACTTGAAGGGAAAAAATTTGCAACTGGTGTGAAAAATATGACATATTTTTTCTAAATTCTGTCATATTTTTCCTTTTGTAGGTTTCTGATACAGATAATTGGTAGATGTGTTGATGCAATCAACAGGAATCATGGGATAACAGGAATGGAGTCATGTGACTTCCTGATGATACAGCTCTCACAACTTCTCTTGTATATTACACATATGTTTCAGTCAGGTAAGTTATACAAAACACAAACTGATATTCTGCTTAGGGCTGTTCCAGAAAATACTATGTCCCCTCCAGAGACGGCACTTTTTTTTAACCCCCACCACCCACAGAAATAAAAAATAAGAAAAACACTCCCTTTGCATTTGTAATTTCAAATACAACCACCCACATAAAATTTTTAAAAATTGCCTTCCCTTGGGGGGACATAGTATTTTTTGGAACAGCCCTTATTTCATTTTTTTTTTTAATTCAAAACAATATTATATATACATTGAATTGTAGAAAAAGAATTGTTAATTTTACTGTCAATGAATGAACAAGATTGTAGGTACATTAACTAGGAGGTGAACATAACTAGGATTGATGCTCAAATGTAGTTTAATCATCAATGCTTTCATTTTAATGAAATCCTTTCACTTGATAGTTTGAATTTTAGAAGTTACAAAAATGAAAATATTGCAATATTCGCTAAACTAAAGAGTATAGTTTGCTTCAATGAACTGTAGTAAGATTAATTATTTCCTATTAAATGTTAAGCAAACACTAGATGTATTTTGGTTGTTATGTGTTGTTGGTTGGCTGTCTCTTTGACATGTTCCCCAGATCTCCTTAATATTCTTTTCCAATATCCAGCCTGCAAATTATAGTTTACTGTATAAGAGGTTTTATCCTATTTGTTTTCCGTTTGTTGTTTTGTACATAAATCAGGCTGTTGGTTTTCTCAATTGAATTGTTTTACATTTTGTCATGTCTTTATAGCTTGCTATGCAGTATTGGTTTTGCTCATTGTTGAAGGCGGTATGGGGGCAGATAGTTGCTAACATCTACATCATTTGGGCTATGGTGAATAGTTCTGTCAATGACATTCATACCACATCTCCTTATTTTATATAATGTAACATGGGAAAAGACACCTTATAATTTCTTAAGTTAAAAAAAAAGATTCTTCATGCATGTATTGTCATGTTTATCTTATAGGGATGTTTAGAAAAGTAGCCACATGTTCTATGCAGATATCCAGTCAAGAATCTCCAGAATGCCTCTACAATATCAAACAGTTAAATCAGTACTTCTTGTCCTTCTCCATGACATCTCCGACCTTGACATTACAGTGGTGTAACATTCTGATTCTGTTGAACTTTGATGATCAGATTCTGTGGTCTGATGTTATGCAGACACCCAAAAGATACCTCAAACCTGGAATGAGGTAAGGGTATACATTATACCTGAAATAGCGTTAGATTATGATATTTATTGATAAGCTATACTTTTTAGAAATACTGCCTTTTTAAAAAAAAGGCTGCTTATTGAGATTGAAAAAGGGAGGTTTTATTTAAAAAACTACAGTTTTTGCATTACCACATTTTCAAGTGTCTTTTTGAAGTTTAGTCCTTAATCTTTCTTTGGTTTTCTTCGGTCCTATTTTTATCTTTTTTGTTGATTTAAGATTTTTGATAGTCTCTGTTAACATGTAAACTTTTCAAGACTCTCACCAAGTGAATAGTCTTGATATTATAGATACCTCTAAAGATCATATGTTGATTGTTTCATGTCTTATGTAGAGTGTTGTGTTGTTGGATTGCTACATGATTGTTGAGTCATTCCACATCTCTTTTTATTCATATTGGAAGATTACCAGACCAAAGTATAAAATTGTTTATTTTTGGTGAATTTTTGTGGTTATATTGTTGTCTAATTGGTATTAACATGAAAATCAAGATAATTACAAAGTTTATTGTGAAAGAACTGTGAAAAAAATTTAAATCTTATTTAGTCCAGAAATAAATATTTTAATTTTCAGGGCATTTATATATATTTGAAACAGTATGAATTTGATAGTTTTTATAATATTTATACAGTTTTTAGGCTTGGATTTTACCCATTTTTGCCTTTACTATTGAATTTACCAATTTTACAATATGTTTGAATAGAAATTGCAATAGTTTGGTTTTGTTTTACGTACCAGAACATAAATTCTGAGTGCCTGTATCTTTTTTTGCCTCTGCAGTATTATCATTTTTCAGGGTTTGAGGTGGTTGTACTATGTCATTGTTCTTCACTTAGATATCTTTACATTGTATTTTAACTTTAAATATCTATCGTCTCTTCCCATATTGACAAGATTTTCATGTAGTATTAATTATATTTATGTTGATTGATTTGTACCTGTTTATGAAGCTGAATTTTTGTAAGTAAAGCTTTTCAAAATGGATGAATTACTGATTTTGAAAATATTAACTTCCAGCCAATCCTTAAATTTGGACAATCAGCTGTCAACACTCACCCAGTGTTGCAATCTAGAGATCTTAAGACAGGGTGGATTGGTATTGTTTTGTGATTATGTGGTGAGTTGAACCTTTTGTTATTTTTTTTATGGAATTAAAGAATAAGGGCAAATTTTCTTCTACCATATATGACATTAAATTTTTATTTATTTCTCATAACAGTAACTTTGTGATCTTGAGATCATTATAACTAACATAATTATACCCCCACTCAGAAGGAGGTGGTATATTGTTTTACCCCTGTCTGTCTGTCCATTCAATGGTCTGTTGCATTTTTTCAGGAGTTACAAATCACAGCTTTCTTAAACTGGTTAAAGGCCTTATGTGACCATGCTACACTGTTTACATTTTCAGATTCATCACTCATTAATTTCCTGTGTACCAAATTCTTATATACTCATACAATGACCATATATGAAATTTTCCTCACATTTTTCCCAGGATCTAAGGATCAGAGCAACCTGAAATTTGGTATCAGGATTCATGTGAGCATACTACACCATGTGATGCATTTCCACGTCCATTGCTCATTAACTTATTGTTTACGGAATATTTATAGCAGGTCATCATTCTCACTGTTCCAACTTGCTGGTTTTTGGTTAACTTACCATTTGACCAAATTAAATTGAATATTTTGACATAGACTTTTATATTTATGCAGATAATTTGTCGGAAAAAAACTTTAAGCTAAGAGGAGGTGTATCTTGATACTGTTTGGGTTTTTTAAGTTCAAAATTTTTAGAAAAATATATACCGTATTTTGCGGAAAATAAAACGCACCCCTAAATAAGGCGCACGGCCGTTTTTTGGGGGGAAGAAGTGTTTTTTCCTTACATAAAACGCACCTGAATATATAGCGCACCCTAATGAAAACCTAGTATGCATTCTACTGACCTTAGAGTAATGAATGTTCACTCATTTTTGTAACTCACTGCGTAACATGTTTCATTTCTATTTTCAGATTGTTGAGAAAATTGAAAGGCATTTTGATTATATGTATTTGTTTCATATTAAAATAAAAAATATATGAGAAAACCCAATCTGATTAAAAATACAGATCATGTGTCCATGTTTTGCTTACAAGGATCTGACAATGCTTCTTTCTACATTATGTTTTGATAATTATCACTTCATCCTATGAAATTTCTGCCTCCAAATATTGGAAGGAGTGTATTGTTACGGAAAGACCAGAGTATCCTGAAATAGTCATAAAACCAGAAAGTAGAATAGAATGTTGTCTGATCCTTGTTAGTGTAGTGTGAATACAGTATTTATATTTCAATTAAATTGAAGAAAACATTTTACCCAAAAAATGCACATAACACAAGCTTTAATATAGATGTGTGAAAAAATCAAATAATTTAGACCAGTATTAAAAATGTTATGATTTGTTGAAGTCAAATGTTACTTTAAATTTTCAGTGTGAGAATTTAAGTGATGCAGAACAGTTAACATGGCTAGTGATTAATCATGTTGGAGATTTGATAGAGCTTGTTCAGGAATCGCCAGTTCTGGACTTTGTTAGGTTGGTGATAATAAAGTTTTTTTGTGCATGTTCATCAGGACTTATTATTGCTTTAAAACTGTTGCATTTATTTTAAATTATCATTTTTCTTTGTCTAAAACTTTACATTTACATCTCAGAATTTAACTCTGTCCCAATGATTAATATTTCCTTATGGATAAGAAAACTTGTTATTTAAACTTTCAATTACTTTAAAAACCATATGCAATCTGCACCAAAATATATTTTTGTAAACTGGCTTGAAATACAAATTTTCACTGGCATGTATTTTTGAAATGATGTGTATTTCACAATCTCTTGAAAAGGGGTTTTTACAAAAAAATGCTGTTTTAAAAAGCAATGAGTGAAACTTTATTTTGTGCTTTCCAATTTCCCAAAGTTGCAATTGAATGACCTTATACTGTCTCTTTAAAATTTAATACTTAGGGTTTTTTTTCACATAGGATGAATTCTGTTTTTTTTTTTTTTGGGGGGGGGGGGGGGGGGATTATTGACATTTGCACAACCATATATGATATCAGCATACATGTGCAAGGTGTCATTTCAAATTTTGAAGGTTGTACCACTTTCAGCTATGCATAGAATTTTCTAATCTAAAATGCATCTGAATACTTAATGTTCTGTCAAAAGTGAAATTTTGTGGTATTTGGGACACACAGATGATCCTGTAATAGAGCTTATGAAAAAAATGATTATACTAGTTTTAATTTAGAACTATTCAACTTTTGCACAAATATTTTGTGATTCTTGACCCAATTAAATCTAGACATGTTTTTTTTTTTTAAACCTTTTGCTTTAAGGTGCACATCAAGAAAAAATGTATTGAACTCATTCTGATATTTCAAAATTGCAGAGACAGTAAAATTATACCATATTTTGATTGCAGTGCTATACACAGAAACCCAGCAGCTAGTAGTCTATTTATCCAAGCCATTCATGCCAGATGTGGAAATGTAACCAGACCATCTGTGATTAAAAGAACTTTAAAGTGTTTAGAGGCTATTCATCTATCTCAGACAGGAGCTTTAATTACTTTGTTAATTGATAAGTTTTTAAACACTCACCATTTAGCAGTTTCTAGGATTTGTGATACCATTTCTTGTCGTCGTGTGGAGCTGTTATTGGCTGATAATGTTGAGGTTAGTATCATGTACTGGTACAGCACTATAAATACTGCTTTAGAATAAATCTTTTGTGATATTTTATACAGACCTGATAAATAAGTAATCAGCAGGATTTGAACCCCAGCATCTGAGACATGTGGCAACACCGCCTGCACTGTGTCCAGCGCCCCAGACGACTGGACCAACTAGGCTATATATATATATATATATACAGCTGTTAGTATTTGTTAGTAATATACATGCAAATAAGATACAATGTCAGTAAGGAAAAATATACCTTTATTGAAACATTTTTTTATAAAATACAGGTTAATTCTCTGTTTTTATACATTTTTTTCAGTTATATATTTGATTAATACATTGATATTGTGTCTCTTTTGACATTTATTCTTTGTTTCAAATGCAAGTTCATTATTGATTGAAAAGTTTATTTGTAGGAGGCCAGAATGCAGCTTCCTCTAGAAGATTTAGATAAACTCTTTAGATTTATGGAAACCCACTCACTCACAAAAAGGTAGGTTAATTATTTTATACGACTGCAAAAAAAATTTTGGGATCGTATAATGGTATGATGTCATCGTCTGCGTCTCTGTCCGAAGACACATTGGTTTCCGGACAATAACTTTAGTTTAAGTGAATGGATCTCTATGAAATTTTTTAAGAAGGTTTAATACCACAAAAGGAAGGTTGGGATTGATTTTGGGGATGATGGTCCCAACCGTTTAGGAATTAGGGGCCCAAAAGGGGCCCAAAACAAGCATTTTTCTAGTTTCAGGATATTAACTTGTGTATAAGTATTTCGATTGCTCTGAAATTGTACCACAATGTTTAATACCACAAGTAGAAGGTTGGGATTCATTTTAGGGGTTATGGGGCCAACAGTTTAGGAATTAAGGGCCAAAAAGGGACCAAAAACAAGCATTTTTCTAGTTTCCAGACAATAACTTGTGTGTAAGTGTATGGATCTCTCTGACATTACAATGTTCCATACTACGAAAGGAAAGGCTGGGATTGAGTTTTGGGGTTATTGCTCCAAGGGGGGGTTTCAAAAAATTGGGGGGGGGGGGGGGGGGGGATTTTTTTTCCAATTTTTTTAAGAGATTCATATTTTTTTTTCAAAATTTTTCAAATTTCGAATTTTTGAAAACTTTCAAGAAGAAATCTTCGATCGACAGTATTGTGCAATATATTTGTAAGATCTTTGACCACATTTATTTTGTGTCAGAAACCTATATTATGTCAAAAATTTGATCACAATCCAAATTCAGACAGTATTAAGCTTGAAAATTGTGTCCAAATTTGCCCAAACTGTTCAGGGTTGGACCTCTGCGGTCGTATCAGGCTGCGCTCAGCAAAGCATTTTATTTAACTTTGTTTTTATTTTCAAAACTATGAATATATGATTATAAGAGCAGGCTTTGAATGGATTTGATATAAAAACTTCATATTACAAATAGCATTTCCTTTTTTTTCTCCTTGTTCTAATGCATGAAGAGGCACTGTTAGCTGCAACTGATGGTGAAAGACCCTCATGGGTATTCAATGTCATTAAATACCCCAGTAGTAGAAGTATTTGGCTGCAAGTAATTTTTTACAAACGTTCTTTTTATATGTTTTTTTTTTACAGACATGCAAGATTGTTGTCTTTGTTGAAGAAATTTAGATGTAAAATAAGTCCAGATGACAACGTGTCTTTCTCTACAGATAGGCCACATCCGATTACACTTCCAGATAAAGTTACAGATATCCAACCTAACAAGGTAAAATTCCAGCTAAAACGGAATGTAAAATGAATTGAGACAGTATCTGTGAAAACTCTTAAAACGTCTTCATAAAAATTAGTAGGGAGGGGCATATTGTTCTACTGTCTCTGTCTTTCTGTCTGTCTGGTTTTGTCTGCTTTAATGTTCTTAAAAATAAAAAAAGATTTTTCATAAAGTATAAGAAAAACAGAAAAAACAATGACCAAAAGAAGTTGGCAAACAGCAGTGCATAAAGCACTAAAAGAAAAAGTAAAGATAATTGAGCACCTATAACTGAGGGTGAACCTAGGTGCTCTAGAAGGGTAAGCAGTTCCTACTCCACTAGTGGCACCTGTTATGTTTCTCAAAGCAAAGAATTCCAGTGAAAGGACACATTCAAAAAGTGGACATGATTGTTACTACAATTGGAAAATATCTGTGGTCATTTGTTAAAAAGATATTCTAAAGTGTTCAACAAAAAATGAAGATGTCTAAAATTGTAAAACCAAGAAATAGCTGTAATAAATAATCATAAAAAATCTGTATCTGTATGAATTAAACACCTACTGTAAATACATCAACTTGAAACTAAGTAACATATATATAAATTATGATGTGAATTTTCAAATTTAAAACCAAAATATGATTTTTACCCCAGTTTCACAGTTCACTGAACATGTAAATTGATATTTATGTTTTTAACTGGGCTCTCAGTCATAAAACTTTACTCAGTACTCAGATTACAAAATTTGTATCCAGTATTTTGATTGGTTGAATTCTCAGTCTGAGTACAATAATTGTACTGGAAATTATTAAAACTGCAAGGCCAGTAGATAAGAAGCAACATGTCAAACCAAACTGGTACAAAATAGTAAGTTCACCTATTAAAACAGCTTTATATTTTATCGTTACAGGAATGTTTTATATCTGTAGTGAAGGAACAATGTTATAGACCAGACTGTGATACAAGGGAGTGTGCTCATCTGTTAAAACAGCTTGATTATGCTGATATTTTGTCTATAACAATGACAAAGGTAAGAAGAGGAGTCAGCAGATGATATGGTACATTAAAAGGGAGACAAATTGGACCATTAGAGAAAGAAAAAAAACTTTATGGAAAATACACTTCTTTTATAATATAATAGCAAACATAAGGTATGGTCAGTGACAATTATACAGAAAATATGCAGGTTGTTCCTCATACAACTTTATATAATTATGAGGGACTTTGAAGTATAAAATGACTGAACTTTGGCTTCTACTTTAAGGGTTTTTTTTTAAAGGATGGAGTTTGTATTTAGGACATTATATTGTATTCTAGATAATGGTGTATTAACTGTTTTTGTACTAGTCTTATGATGAATTTTAAATATTCACTATTTTGATTTGATTTTTGGAATAATTCACTTGATAAAATGGTGGAATCTATATTTACCAATAATTAATTAACCATTCAGTCAATAGTATGTGTTTAAAGATTCTTGATTTGAACTATTGTCTTTCCAGGAATTCAGTTTAAGTATACTAAGAGAATGCCTATACCTTGGAGCCTATCAGACCATGATGAAGGACAATGAGACAGTTGTTGTATTAGATAATGAAGGAAACAGAGTCTTATTAGAACCAGAGTTTGATCCATTGTTTCAGGCTGCTCAACTGACATTGAATAGACATTTTAATAATATTGTCAACCTATTACCTATTCCACATCAAGTGTTAACTTTTGAAAAAGCTGTCCTTAGACAGTCAAGATATGAAGAGAAATTAGAGGATATATTAACTGATTCTTCATGGATTGAAATGATATTTTCTTTGACAAATTCATTAACTGTGTACTTACAAGCTTTATCAACATTCCCATGGCAACCAGAAGTGCCATCAGAATCTGTCTGTGATATTTGTAGATTTTGTGTTTTGTCAGCTGAGGTGAGTATTAGTTATTTCCATGGCAACAGTGCAATGAGAATTTGTCAGATATTTTATAAGTTTTGTATTCCATCAGCTTTGCTTAGAAAAGTTGATTTGTTTACATTGCAACGTTTCCATTAGACGCTTTTTATATTTGTAAATATTGTACTCTGTTATCCAGTGTTGATTTGTGTTTTAGTAGCACCTGGAAGTGTTATTAATTTCTCTAATGATTTGTTCTTAGAACTACCATAGCCCCTCTTAGTTGTGACTTTAATAGTGCATTTCATTGAATTGACCATGACCTTTCTTCTTTTAATTTCTTTATATAGGTTATAGACTGGATGTTGCATCATAACCAACTACCAACATCTGAACAGCTGAGTTCCTGTTTACATTGTGTCTCACTTGTCCTGCAGAGTTTACAGCTCTCACAACAAATAGATAAACAAGTCACATGGTTGTGTTCATTGGTATCCATGGTTTATCAGGTTGTATTATCATGTGAGTACTAAATAAACAAGTCACATGGTTGTGTTCATTGGTATCCATGGTTTATCAGGTTGTATTATCATGTGAGTACCAAATAAACGAGTCACATGGTTGTGTTCATTGGTATCCATGGTTTATCAGGTTGTATTGTCATGTGAGTACTAAATAAACAAGTCACATGGTTGTGGTCATTGGTATCCATGGTTTATCAGGTTGTATTATCATGTGAGTACTAAATAAACAAGTCACATGGTTGTGGTCATTGGTATCCATGGTTTATCAGGTTGTATTATCATGTGAGTACTAAATAAACAAGTCACATGGTTGTGGTCATTGGTATCCATGGTTTATCAGGTTGTATTATCATGTGAGTACTAAATAAACAAGTCACATGGTTGTGTTCATTGGTATCCATGGTTTATCAGGTTGTATTATCATGTGAGTACTAAATAAACAAGTCACATGGTTGTGTTCATTGGTATCCTTGGTTTATTTAAGGAATGACTGTAATATTTTGTCTGTCTATGAAGAAATAACATCAAAAATGTGGTGCACACTGAATAACCCGCGTAGCGGGTTATTTTAAAGTGTGCACCACATTTTTTATGTTATTTCGAATAGACAGAAAAAATATTACAGTCATTTCTTATAATTTAATTCTAAATTCCATTTTAAACCGGAGTAAACCATGAAAAAACGTTGATGACGTCTCGGTCACATGACAAAATTATGTCTATGAGCTGATAAACAAAACAACGTCAGCCAATCAGAAGACGCGTTACATCCAAAATTAAATTATACTTCAAGTCAAACGGGTTTATCAATTCATTAGAAATTTTTGCATGTGATTCTGTAACCCTGAGAATAAATTTGAAAAATTATTTTTCATTTTATTGAAAACTCTGAGACACTCATCACGTCAGAATAAGAATTAATTTATGAAATAAAAAAAAAATATTAGCGATATTCCTATAGTGCTGAACAGTCAGTGAGAGTGAGTATGGACTTTCATTGTTGATTTCTAGGATTTAATAAGTAGTAAAAACCAATTTACATGTACCAGCTTTCATTTGATTCCACTTAAACTGTATGACATTATATGTAAACTTTTATTTATTAGCAGTTGAAATAAAGATACAAGATATCTAAATATATTGTTATGGATTTGGGTATTTTTTCCAGATGAAGTATTACCAGGTGAGAAGCTGATTAAATCTCCAGCTCATGATACATCTGAAGACCAAGATACTGAACAAAGTGGTATGTTGATACAGTATAATATAGAATGTTCACCTCTTGATGTCTCTTTGTTATTGGTGTCATTGGGTTGCTGTTTCATTGAGATATCCACACCTCCTTTGATTTATATATTATGTCAATTATCTGTCAATTAGAATGTTTTAACTTATTAAATTATTTGGGGAACATAATGATTCATGTATTATGATGACTTTTGAGGAGAGGGGTTGGTTGGACAGGATTGCTTCCATGGAATAGTAGATACATAGCAAGCTGTAAGCTGTTGAGCAAGGGAGTACTTTTTTAGCTCAGTTGGTTAGAGTGCTGACTTTAAACACAGAGGTCATGGGTTCGAGTCCCAGAGGAGCCAATGTGATTTCCTAATAAGAATCAGGCTATCCAGTTACATTTATTTCTTTTCTATATTAAATGTACAAACAAACACAAATAATGATACAAAGTTTAATATTCAAATTTGAATTTGACAGAAAGAAGGACTTGTACAGAGATGCAAAAGAATACACAAGGTAAGCAAAAAAACTTGATTCAAGCAATGAAGTGCTGAGAACAATCAAAACACTCCTTGTTTAAGGAGAGAAAAATTAACATTGAGTTATTGCAGAATGAGGGAAATAATTTAGCTTGTTTTAATGGTGAGAATTTTGGTATAAGTTTTTAACATAACAATAGAACATTTTTGGTATGATTATTTGTTTTTTTTTATTTTACAGATTTGCAGCAAATAATTAAAGCATGTGATAGAGTTTCTGATTTAATTATCTGTCTCCATACCAGATTAAAAGGACCATCCAACTTATTACCATCATTTGTTGCTGATCACATCAAGAATATCATCTTAGGTTAGTATTGAAATTGTCAATGCATCTCACATGCAAATAAATATCTAAAACAATATTTCAATATATCATACAATTTATCCTACATGTTTTGTGAGTTGATAATGAGAAAATGCAAAATTGAATCACTAAGGGAGATAGGATAAACTACAGTCTCATAATTTCATGATAATTTCCCTTGGTTTTACTTATGATTTTAGTATTATTTCAACTTATGTGGAGTCAGTTTTCTGCTGTAGTATATTCAAAATGACTATAAATGTGTTCATTTGTGAAATATTCCTGCACGTTATTTTATCTGAATGTATTTGTATTTTACTTAGGGTTGAGTAGACAGTCAGTAATCAACAGTTATGCTAGAGTACCTGGGATTGTATGGAAAATAGGATGGACACCAACCCCAACAGGAGAACCTAGGACACAGTTACCTCCCTTACCTCTAGATTTACTGCAGGATAAAGATGTATTAAAGGAATTTGTCTTCAGAATAAACACATTTGGTAATATTTACTTTTTTGGAGCAAAAAATTTTTATGGAGACTGAATATGAAAGTGAAATTAATAATAAGATTATAAATTTGAAATATTCATTTATAACATGTAGTACTACAAGTAGAATAAAAAGACAAAATACATATGAAAGAGATATTAGTTGTTGACATGATAAACACAGCTTCTATATTGGGACTGATGGAAGAGAGACAACTCTAGTGTTCAGATTTTATCATGAATGATTTTATTATTTTTACCATACCTCAAAAGGGCTGTTCCATAAAAACATACATGAGACCAAGGAAAGGCAACTTAAATTTGCCACTTTTGGTGGGTGTGAAAAATTAATACTGTTAACCAACTTATTTTCTTGGATACTTTAGTTTGCATTTGACTTTATGGCGATCTATTTTCGAAATATTCTAAATTTCTTGATTTCACGATATATTCCTACTCTCTAAATCTCCTGAAAATTAATTGGTCAACAGTATGTTGTACATATTTTTAAAAAATGTATGCAGGTCTCTCAAACATTGCTTCTGTGGGTGGTTACCATATTTTCGAAGTGCCTTCCATGTTTTAATGGAACAGCTCTAAGGAAGTATTTTGTTAATTGCAAAATGAATATTATTAAGTTGATATGATAATACTTCTGCTGTTCATCTTTTACATTTTGTTGAATGTTATGCAATGTTACATGGATAATTGTATAAAAGAAGTCAGTTTAAAGTTTACCAGGAAATATTATAATGCTTATACAGTGTTTTCCCCAGGGCATTTTAGCATCATGGTAATGTGATGCTATATTTCTTGAATGTGATGCTATCTGAAGTGGTTTTCTTATATATTGTGTTATGGATGTGATGCTATAATTTTTAGAAACAAGATGGTATTTCAAATTTCCCTGTTTTCCAGAATGCTAAATGAAATATCTGGGGAGAACACTGGCTTATATTGATCTTATGATAGAATCCATTGTTAGATGTTAAGTTTTAGAGATACATGTACTGTGGGTTCATTATTATTCGTGGGATACCAATGAATATGATTTTTGGGGTAAAGGTAACCCACGAATTTGAATGTTCAACAAACATCAAAATATTTTCTATTGGCTTGTATGCAGACTTTGGCAAATCTACGAAATCAAATATCCACAAAAATACAATTTTTCCTGAAGCCATGAAAAATTAGTAACCATGAAAATAAGTGAATCAACAGTATTTGTTTAATGATTCATAGTATGAATTCTTCAGAAAGTGGGCTTATTGAATCCATTTGCCTTATAATCCTTAATAATCTACATTTTGTTTTATCAACAGGTTGGATAAGTAGACAACAGTTTGAAGAGACATGGATGAGTTTGTTACCAATACTAAATCCTGTAAGAGTGGATGAAGAAACTGAAGAAATAAATAGTCCTGAGGTTGGTTTTAGTGATTTAAAACTTAGATATTATGGATTAGATTCTACTTTTAGTAATAAATTTTCATAGCATTTTGTAGTGATGCTATACAATATTAAATGATACTGAAATTAATTTGAAGTAACAAAAAATCATATTTTCAAATATTCTTTTCAACCAGTGGTGCTCAGCCAAATATTGGAATATGTTAAAGTTGAAAATTTAAGACCTTTTCAATAAATATACATAGGTAAAGAACAACTACCAGTTATAATTCATAATCAATGTACATTACTAAGCTACATCATCATATGGGTCTAATTTTCAGGAAGAAGTAGAACGATCACAGTGTATGGTAATAGCAGTTAAATGTGTGACATCAATGTTACTACATTCAACCTTGACTCCTGTACCTGGTAACCCTAGCAACAGTAGATTTGAAATGAGACCCAGAGATAAACCACTAGGGTTTTTACATACAAGGTAGTTAACAGTATAAATTCATCAATTGGTCATGTGATGAAGCAGACCCATTTTACCCTCATAAATGTTCACACAAAGTAAACCCATTGTGCAAAAATAAAATGTTTCATTTACCTTAACAATTATCAAATAACTAATCCAAGAACTACATTATAGAAAAATATTTAATGATTGACTTAACAACAAATTAATTCACGAATGCATGTAATGCATGTAGCCAATAAATTAATTATCAATGTTGTTTTGTCACAAGCTTTTGTTTGCATCGTATTACTATGTGTGTCTCCATCTGCTGTCACAGTCATTCGTCTTTGAATCTGTAAGACTTGTCTCTTTTGTTCAATACACTGAATAATCTGTATGTGTTGTTATAAAAACAAGGTTATAAAAACAAAGAGTTATTTGAATCTGGAATAATTTTGAATTTTGGAAAATTGTTAAGAAATGTATGAGGAAAACAAAACCAACTATGGAGGTTTAAGTTCAAGTTACTTCCACTGATATTGTAGTATGAACTTACTAACCCCACTTAGCCATGCATGGCTAATCCTTCATAATTGGGTTAGTTTTCATCATGCATTTCTTATCAATTTCTAGAATTCAAAATTATTCTAGATTCAAATAATTCCTTGTTTAAAAAATACGGACTTGATATTTCCTGTGTTAGTCTCAGCTTGAATTATGTCCATCTTGTTGCCTTGAATACTACTCAATTTTATACCCAAGTAACTCTTTGTAATGTATAAGAAATTAGTATGAGCTCACTTAAAAACTCAAAGTACTCCGCAAAATTTCTTATACAAGCCTTGTTATTAGAATACAACTTGTATTAAAACTTTGATTGTAATTCCCAAAACAATTATTTAATTTTAGATGTGGTAAAAAGTTAACTACTATTAGAGGTGTGATAGAACAAGAAGTACAGAATCTTTACAATAGAAGGTTTGTATTGAACAATGATAGACTGTTAGATTGAAAATGTTCTATGTCGTTATTAAGCACATCACAAATTCTATGGATTTTCAGTGAAATGAATTTTTCCTTACATTTATCACTTTGATGCTGGTTTATCCCTCATCGTTGATATTGTAACTTTTGACTTGCATTGATATTTTTTGTCGCCATATGAATTCTACTAACTAACTTCCTGTTGGTTTGTATAACAAAGAAAACTTTTGTTGTTAACCTGAAAATACACAAATCAATCCGGAAAATAGGTAGGCAGATTTTCATAAACAGATATTGTAAATATCAGAGGTGTCACTATCCGAAGCACGTTTTTCTTCACTCACCTGTAAAGAAGTTTTATTTTGTGACTGAGTTTGTCAAAAGCAATATGCAAAACTCTTGATAATCATCACTTGTCTCCCCTTAACAAAAGTATTATTTATTTTTAAATAATGAGAAGAAAAGGAGAAACAGCATCGTTTATTCTGTAAGGATATAAGTTTTCCATCTTAGTATTTCTAGTACATATTGAAAATATTTTTAAAGAATTCAAATGTTAGTAAAATCTAGATTGTCGTTTTGATTTTACCTTTTCCATTATATTATTGATAGCAGAGATCTATGATTTGTATCCCTTGAAGATGTACAAGACTTTTACATTTAAAAGTAGACAACATGATGCAATGATTGATTTTTGATGTTTAAGCCACTTTCTGCACTATTGGCTATATCCTGGCACCCATTTTTTATTGGTGGATGAATCTGGAGTGTCCAGAGAGAACCATTGACCTTTGGCAGGAAAACTGGTAATCCTAGTTAATTAAGATCTGAGTCGAACGCTCCTGCCACTTGCAGGGTTTCAAACTCACAATCTAAGTGTTGATAGGCTAGTGATTTCTGTATCAGAACTACTTAGACCACTCCGCCACCGAGGCCCCAGATAATACAATAAAAAAAATAGTCCAGCATAAACTGCTTTCTCAAAAATGTCACCCACAACCATTCATTTAAATTTAATAAGAAAAAGAAATCTGAGAATTTGCTGATGACTGATACCTTTTTCATTTTTAGTGTTCTCCAATCCATATTAAATTTTTCGGAAAGTTTTCTACATTTTTTATTTTCAGTAATAGTAGACAGTTGTATTATAATGGTGGGAAAGATGATAACAAACTTCTGAGATATATGTTTGATAGTAACTTAGAGAGAGAGTTAGGGGTAGAGAACTTTAATTTAGGGCAGGTCAGTATTTTTGATTACTTATGAAATGAAAAGATGTGTCTTATATTCAATAAGAATTTCTATGAAGTTGTATGCCTGAATTAATTGCAGATAATGAAATTTAATATAAACTGAAGAAAATTCTGTCAGAAATAAAAATTACGTTTTGAATGAAAAAGATCATGAAAATCTGCTAGTGCACAATTATCAGTAGAAGCATGCCACAAATAATAATGAATTCACAGTATGAGAAATGCTAAATTAAGGTCAAGGAACAGAAATGGGCAATGTGTGATTTTTTAATGATTTTGCATATACATGTACCATAAATATGTTGAATTTAAGGTGAAAATTGAAAAAAATAAATTGTTAAATTTGTTAATTTTTTAATGAAAATTCTTGAAATAAATGCAAACTTATAACAAAAATGCATATTAAATCATTGAAAAACATTTTAAAAATAATATTTAAGTTTTCATTTGTCTAAAATGCATGTTGAAGATCTGTATATATTACAGATATCAGTTGAAGGTATTTGGTCTGTTGTTGGAGCCCTCAGTACCAGGATTGTGGAATCCGATGCCTCTGAATCCCCTGACAGTCCTCCAGAATCGGTCCAGACAAGTCAACAACAGTTTCCATTGATAACTATAGAGAAGAGAGAACGGTCTATGACATTTAGCAGTATAGATATAAACTCCTGTCTACAGTTCCTACTTGACCTGTATGGTCAGTGGCTGTCCAGTAGTGCTAGTCCTAAACCTCCACTCATGTTGAGGAATGAAGTCATTAAATCAGTAAGTACATGCATGGTCAGTGGCTGTCCAGTAGTGCTAGTCCTAAACCTCCACTCATGTTGAGAAATGAAGTCATTAAATCAGTAAGTACATGTATGGTCAGTGGTTGTCCAGTAGTGCTAGTCCTAAACCTCCACTCATGTTGAGGAATGAAGTCATTAAATTAGTAAATATATCCATAATCGATGGCTATTTAGTGGTGCAAGTTCTAAATTTTCTTTTATTTTGAGTATTGATATCATATAGATGGTGCATGAATATATAGTTGGTGCATGTCTTGATCTGCAAGTCTTGATTCTAAAGCCAAGAAAAATTAAATAATTTTTTTCAGTGTGTATGCATATCAATACTAGTGCAGATTCTGTCCTTGAGAAATCAAGTGATGAAGTCAGTTCATTGCTATTTCTTAAATTTTCCTTTGATATTTCTGTGTGATCATTTTCAATCTAATAACTGATATAGGTTTTTCTCAGTTGAATAGATTGAGAATGCAATGACGTTGTCAGATGCCAATGATGTTGCTTAGGAAAATAGTGATATTACAGATCATCTATGGTCTTTCAACTCGTAGAAGATTTTCTGCAATATTTTATCTCAGGGCTAAGGCCCTTCATTGAGATTGTACCATAAACCCTCTCCTTTTCAGACAAATAGATAATCTATAAGTATACATGTATGGTCAGTACATGTCCAGGTCTGTTAATCCTAATTCTATAATTGATAAACTCAATCAGTGAGTGCATATATACAGCAAGGATATCCCTTATTGTCAAATTTAAACCTACACTAAGTTAGTTAATCACTAAGTGTGCCTTAATCAAGTGAAGAAATTATGAATCTATTGACGTTGGCACTATCAATGTAAGGGGATAGGTCTATAACAATTCTTTCTAATGGCATCAGAATGCTAGCAGAACCCATTTAAATGGAGGACCAGATAACTAACTCATTTACTGCTTTAATTATAGGTTGTTTGTCTGTCAGATGTGTATGTTGAGAGAGACCAGTATGATTGGATGTTAAACATTTTACTGGAGACACAGAAAATCCACCCAGCGGAGGATGAGATGATTAATCAGTATATTAATGTAGGACTTTGTAAAGCTGCTGCAGTGGTGGGAGTGGTAAGTTTGTAGATCATTGCACATTCTGCTTTGATTATTGCATAAACTCGAAATATGAATAATATTTTCTGAATTTAATGTTACTGATCAGACATTCCTTTTTTCTGAGAAATTAATTTTGATGGTCACACATTGCTTAGCAGTAGTTCAGTTATAATGTTTCATATACATATGGTCTTTGATCAATGCATACTGCATCTTAGATAAAATTTTGTCAATGCAATACATCCATGAGGTTTTCACTCAGGATTATAATAGCCTAATATAACCCCCAAAAATGTAGGATATTGTGTGTTAGCTCATTACACATAATCCAAATGCACACTTTACAAAACACCATGCAAAGGAACAGTGTGTTCATTGCTGCTCTTCATGTATATGTTGATATATTATTTATTTCATTTACAGGACAGTTCTGTTGCTTCAAAGATTATGACTATACTGGATTATGGACTGAAGACCCCACACTTACCCAGTAGAATTTCAGCCTTACACGGGATTCTGTACTTGCTGGAGGCAGGGATACAGGAGACTACCAAACAAATCATACCATTGGCTACTGACTTCCTCTTAAAAAATCTTTCATCTGTTAACCAGTAAGTTAATAAATCATCTGAATTTTAATTGTGATTGTTAATTGATAGAGTATTATTAATCGTTTGCTTAATGTCCAGTGGAAAATATTGCATGTATATTCAGGATGATGATGTGATATGAAATTTGAAGTTAACTCATTAGAGATAGTTTAAAAATGTGCTTATCCTATCCTCTGATATTGATATTCTGTTTTGAAGTATGGAAGGCTATATGTGTATGTAGTAAGACACTAGTTCACAGTAAAAAAAAAGGTGGTTCTTAATTAAAAAAAACCCAACATATATACTAAATTGATTATCTTTTTTAATCAAATTGGATCAAGTAAATGTGTAAAGCACATTTTTTTGTGAGATGCTACTGCACTTGTTAATTCCTGTGTTGACATGATGTCACATCAGGCAGTGCTCAGCGTAGCTCTATTTTAGTATTTATCTTCCATTTATACTCTATTGTATTTAGAGCTGATATACAATGATGTCCATACATTTTAGTTCCAGATGAAGAAATATGCATTAACTATGTATAGGTGACTGTTTTAGTTACAACTTTGCTATTATAAATGTCTTTTAAAAAAAGAATCTGTTGAAAGAGCAAATAGTTTATTTAGTCGGTTTTAAAAAACTCACTATTCCTATGTTGGTGCTGAAGCCAAACAAACAATTAACCAGGTAAATTGTTTTGACCTAATAAATGAACACAGTATTGAGTATTTAGTTAGTAATTGTTTTATTTTACAGGACATGTATAACAAGCCAAACATATGTTCTCACAATGTGGGCAACAGCATTCTACATCATGGAAAACTATCATGTTGATCTCAAAGATTTAGAATTCCCAAGCAAAATACTACAGGTAATAGCGTTCTTTTTTTGTTGCTTATTGTATAGATTCATATTTAGAAATATAGAATATTAGAATGAAATTCCACTTTGTTTTTGACAAGCAATATTTTGCTTTCTGCAACAGCTTGCAATCCATACATTGTTTGCAAAAGTGGCTTTATATGCGAAGAAGCTGTACCACTCTAATCTGTTCTTTTTCAATTATCTATAAATGGTCCTTTGGTCTAATGAATAATGTATCTCCTTTATGTTATAATGAATGTACATATCAATAGATGTATTGTGGATTCAATATTATTCTTGGGAACCAATTTTCGTGGATTTCGTGGGATAAGATGAACCACAAATTAAAATGTTCAATGTAAGAATACATTTCTTGTAGGAGATTGTATGCCAACTTTTGCCATAGCACAAAATCAAGTATCAAAATCAGTTTTTCTTCAATCCACTAGAATTGATACCCACAAAAAATAAATGAATCAACAGTATACACATTGCTTTAATTTAACAACTTAATATTTTTTTAGTTTGCAGTAACAACAGCCTCAGGAAATGAAGAAAGTGTGTCTACTGCTGTCTATCTGGCTATATTGAAAGGTCTAGAGAGACTCCTATTGACAGATGTATTGTCACAACAAGATTCTGAAGTCATCATGAAGTTAGGAGTAGATAGGTACTATATATTCCTAAAGGGGCTCTTACAACCACTATATAGACATAGTTATATCAATTCATGTGGGATTACAATATTATTTAACAGTACATTTATTGTTATGATGTAGCTACTATTCATAATCACTCTTTCATGAAACTCAGCACTTCTGTGTTGACATGAAATATCATTGATATGGTCATATTTATAAATGAACTTTACAAAATTTTGAATTGTTTGAAATACTAAGGATTTTCTACTACAAGAATAGATTACCTTAGCTGTACTTGGCAAAACCTTTCGAAAGTTTGAGTCCTCAATGCTCTTCATCTTTGTACTTGATTTGGTTTTTAAATGTTTTGATTCAAGTGTCACTGATGAGTCTTTATTGATTTTTTATGCCCCACCTAGGGGCATTATGTTTTTCGGTCTATGCGTCCATTCGTTCATCCGTCCGTTCGTCCATCTGTCCCTCTTCAGGTTAAAGTTTTTGGTCAAGGTAGTTTTTGATGAAGTTGAAGTCCAATCAACTTGAAACTTAGTACACATGTTCCCTATGATATGATCTTTCTAATTTTAATGCCAAATTAGAGTTTTGACCCCAACTGCACGGTCCACTGAACATAGAAAATGATAGTGCGAGTGGGGCATCCGTGTACTATGGACACATTCTTGTTTTTTTATTTGATAGTTTTTGCTCTATGTTTAATTGGGAACAATTAGCTGATGCTATTGATTTGCATGGAAATTTTACCACTGAAAAGGTATTACTTTGTTATACAAATTTTTTACATTAAATTAAGCCCTGATCATACTCAAATTTGGAACAAAATATACCTTGATCCCTTAGAACATTTATAAAAGTTTCCATGTAACAGAAATGTCTGGCTTCATCATTGATTTACATAATAGTAATGTGCTGTATATGTTTTGTAGACTGTGTCTTCCTAGTCCACAGAGATCTTTAGCAGCACTTGGCTTGGTGTTTACTTGCATGTATTCTGGTAAGTCACAGATCTGTAGTAGTTCTTATTTTGAAGTAAAATTTAATGTGTTCTGGAAAGAAACAAATCTGTAGTGTAGCTTTACAGTTCTTAATACATGTAAGTTGTTCACTTGATACATTAAGTATTTATATTTATTTCTAACATTAAAATATTTCATCATACCTCAATATTTATTATCTTTTTGAACACTAGGTAAGCAGTACGACCAATACAGCCCAGTACCCAGAGATACCTCTAAAAAGACAAGTGCCTATAACTTTGATGTTGTGTATCAGGACCCAGAATCACTGATATTGGCTATGGAAAGAGTTACTGTTTTATTTGATAGGTAAGTGAGGACAATGAATTTGGTCACAGAAAACATATTTGTCTTACTTCATAGTATTGTATGGTTGATTGATCAATGGTTGCTTAATTTCTAGTTGTAAATTTCAAATGCATATTCATGATGACAACATGTAAATACCATATTAATATGTCTTGCTTTGTATCAAACTAACATGCTCAACCAGATTACTAGTGTGCTGATTTACATGGTTACATTTGGTAGGTAGAGATGTTACCATACCTAGTCCAAGACACTCTGACCTGTGTTGAACATATTTGGCTCTTACTCATAATTACTGGATACTGAGCAAAGTAGAAGTTAATAATAATCATAAACAGTTTTATATATATTTACCCTTGTCTACAATTGAACCATTGACCTACCACGAGTAAATGAATATTTTACCACAAAACCATTGAGGTTATTCTAATCAGTAGATGAGTATGGTTTTTTTACAGATGTTTTTCAATTTGGTCAGTTTTCATTACTGGTAGTTGCCATTAATATGGTCAATTTTAAAATTATTTTAACACCATTGATTAAGCTGTACTTTTGTTACATTTTTGAAAGAAATCTGTCAATTTCTTTGTATTTATTTACAGAATAAAGAAGGGTTACCCATATGAAGCTAGAGTGATAACTCGAGTCCTTCCAACATTCCTGGCAGATTTCTTCCCACCACAAGACATAATGAACAAGGTTATTGGAGAATTTATTTCTAGTCAACAACCCTACCCTAAGCTTGTGGCTCAAGTTGTTTTTCAGGTAATATTTCAACTTTTTACTTCATAAAATTCAGACTTGGTAGTAATATGTGAACATTTATTTTTTGCAGTTTATACATTTTGTTACTCAGTAATTTACAAGTTTCTACTCAGTTATTTGCAAGTTTTAATTTTGTAGTTGATCACATATTTATATTTTCAATAATTTACATAATTAGGTTTCTCTGGTTTTAAAAAAAAAATCAGATTTTGAGATTTCCATTAAATAGTTTATTTTATGGTTGATTAATTTACATATATCATGCTCTCTTTACTTTACATACTTTACGTCTTCAGTAATTTATATATTTCATAATTGAGTAAGTTACATTTTAGTTTTTCAGTAGTTGAAAAATTTCATTTTCAATGTTATTTTCATGTTTTAGGTTTTCAGCAATTTACATGACCAAGAGCAGACGTTACTGGTACAAGACTGGGTAATGTTATCATTATCTAACTTTACACAGCGTACTCCTATTTCGTTGGCTGTATGGAGTCTGACATGTTTCTTCATCAGTGCATCAACTAATCGATGGCTTCGATCTCTGTATCCTTTGTAATAAACCTACTGAGAATTTCAATTACAGTGTTGAAGAGACTCAGTTTTATTGGTATGCTTTGAAAATTATAGATTATCAATGTTTTTTCAAATGAGAGTATTTTTCTCAGCTACAATCTCATCAAAGAGAGACAACCCTGAGATGAGATGTGGCCGAGAAACATCCTCAAGTTTGAAAGACCATTGGTAATGTGTTTATCCCTATTTTGCCAATGACGTTGTTGATGTTTACATTGATAACAGCACTTTCACACTTAGTTTTCTAGTGATAATTTTCTATCTCAGGCAAGTAGCATGATATGAAAAATCTGACATCACGAAAAAAGATAAAAGGAAAAATACGCAAAATTGCGATAAATTAAACTATTGACTGTTCTTTACAAAGAGTCACTAGTTTTCCATCTAGTTTACAGGTATAAATCGTTTTATAATACCTTGTTATCTATTGAATGAAATATGAGAGTGTAATTACTGGATTTCATATATTGGTAATAGTTGTATGAATATCAGATAGGTAGAAACTCTAAACAACAAAAATTATCAACAATATAAGATCTGCAAAAATACCAATATGACTGAAACCAGTTACCATGGCATAAATACTTATAGGAGTTATTGCTCTTAATGACAATTTTTGACTAATTTTCAATTTTGTCCCTAATTATAAAATATAAAAGATAGGTAGAAATTTAAAGCAATAAAATAATCAGCAGTACCAGATATTTTGGCAGGTTAAGGATTCATGTTTTTTGGAGCCTCTTTGTTTTGTTTTTTTTTATATCAAACTCATCAATCTTTTAATGTTGTTTATATCTCACAAAATTACAGTAATTCACTTCTAATATTACAATATAGAATAAGAACTATATTTCTTCAATTCTGTTGTTTAAAAACATATCAGTTTGAATATATAAATAAGAAGATGTGGTATGAGTGCCAATGGGACAACTCTCCATCCAAGTCACAATGTGTAAAAAGTAAATTATAGGTTAAAGTATGGCCTTCAACACAGAGCCTTGGCTCACACCGAACAACAAGCAAGGATATGCCATTTTGTAATAAAATTTTGACTACATTCATTGCACATTAGTTAACAAAGGTTATTCAGAGAGCTCATCTAATGGAAAATGAATCACAACTATATTGTTCACTGAAAGTCAATTAGTACAAGAAAGTTGTAATTCAACTATATAAATGGATTTTCATATTTTAGATTATTTAAACAGGAAAAGAAATTTGTAATAACTTAATTGAGTTACATTGACATATTTATCAATTTCCTTAACTCCAAATACAGATTTCCTCATGTTGTAAATAGAATGGGTAAAATGGAAGTTGTGGACACTCGGTTATTCTGTGTTTCAGCTATGAGTTTCTACAATCAATTAACTGATGATGCTCAGCTTCGAGCTTTTTTATCAACATTCCAGATGGTAATTTCATTAGGTGCGCCATATACACAGTTATTAGAGCTTCTTTCTGATAGTAAGAAGTGATATCTAAACTAGATATGCATTTAGGTGTCTATTTTGAATCAATATTATTAAGACTGACATATATGACCAATAACCAAGATGTATTTAACCATGATAGCTTAAGCTGCCATATTGCTACACTTGTTGTATAATGTTGTGATTGATGAAATACCGACCTGTCATATTAATAAACTGTGGATTCATTCTTATCCGTGCGATACTTATTTTCGTGGATTTCATGGGTACAGGTAAATCAAAAATTAAAATTTTCAACATACTAGTTTTCTATAGGCTTGTATGCAGACTTTTGTAAAACCTCAAAATCAAATATCCACGAAAATATAATTTTTCCTTAATCCACAAAAATTGGTACCCAGTATAATAAATGAATCCATAATAATAATACTAATAATTTATTTACTTTTGAGTTTCAAAAATACTCAGGGTCCTTTTACAACTGTTCCTGTTTGTTTACAGTTTCATTCTAAAAGTTAATGTATGTATTGTAAGACTGGGGGAAGTTTCAGTGTTACTGTGTACACTTGTTTCACCTTTATATTTTAATTGATAGTTACAGATCAGTTGTATTTTTCTGTTAATTACTTTCTTTAGATTAATTGAATGTTGCTGCACTTTTGAGAACATTGGATGCAATTAGAGTAAATTTATAATATTGTAATGTTAGTTGCTAGTCATAGTGGTGTATGATATATTCCATGGAACTGATGTCTTAAGTGGTAATAGTGATATTGACTTCACTTGCTAGTCACAAACCAGTTGTGTTTGATTTGAGAATGGATTTGTAGCCATTTCACTTTTGTAATGATCATCTATCTTTAATTTTTCAAAGTTAGTAACAGTTTTTTGCATAGATAACTTTGGCCCAAATTCAGAAAATTGTTGTTTCTAAGAATATTTTGGATTGTAGGTGGCAGCAGCCAAGGTTTTTCTGAAGCTTTTGGGTTAAAAAATATGCACAAAATGATTGTGTTTTGACAACATATTCAGACAATGATGACTTAAGACCATATAAAGTACTGTTATGAAAAGATTTGCTTTATTTAGCATTAAGGCTTTGAAATAGATCCATTTAAAACCCAAAGTGTTGCCTTTTCGATATTTTATGATAAAGTAGAAATTCAAGGCTAATTTTGTAGCAAAAGTGAACATGAGTGAATTTGCATGAGAGCTGTTTATGGGAAATACCAGTGGCATGTTAACTTTTTGTTAGTATTGAAAATTTATGTTTTTGTTTTGTCTTTCCTTCTCAGAAGAAGTCCAACAATTGTTGAATATAAAATTCTGTGCAATATACATTAAAGTGCTATTTTGTTATTTATTTAGTTTTGTTTTGTTTGAATTAGAACTATTAAATAGATATTTTTAGGGTAACAACTATGATATAAAAAAGGGAATGTTCAACTTTTACAATACTTACACATACAGTACATGTACTAATTACTGTCTTTATTATAACATTTATATAGTGCTATATATCTGTAGTGAATCTGTTTCAGATGCACATTCATAAGCATGATTTTCAAGATTTCTTAACATCTGGTCGCAAAAGTACAGGAATTGGAAGTCTTATTCTCATTTAAAATTATTCAGACATGCTTTGTTTTGTTTAGTTTGTTGTTAATTGACATACACCTTAAATCTATTATTCTTCTGTACTTGACTTGAGCTAAAGCTCCAAAACCCCCCACCCAAAAAGATACATCACTTTGTCCTTATAAATTTTTAGATGTGAAAAATAAATAAAAAAGTTTGGTTCATCTATAACATTGCTGTAAATTTAGTTGATCACAGCAAATTTGTGTTGTCCCAAGTTCTTCTTTCTTTTAAGGTAGTTTTTAATAGTAAATGCTAGCTGTTTCATAGAAGAACTCTTGGTTCAGTCAGATCCTCGTGCATTATTTAGAATGCTTAAGGATGTACTTAGGTAAGTTTTAGGAAAATGTGTCAGATGTTCAGACTTCTTGGGTTTTTTCCTTTGATAAAGGGTAAAATATTTTGCCCCATAACACCCATTTATCTTTTCATATAATACTTCAATAGCTCATAAAAGGTCATTTACCAAAATTTAAGCAGATTCTAGATTTCTTTTCTTTCGATTTGAGACCCAAATAATACCAACGCAAATATAAGGTAAAAGTCTGAGTCAGATTTTCCCACCATTTTTTAAAAATTAAATATCTCGAAAAGGAGCTCCATAACCTTTCAATATTTTTAGCTTATTTTGTTCCTTAACTAATGCTCTTCCGACTTATAGTATCAATTTTAAATTCTAGATTTTTTTAATTTCACCTAAGTACATTCTTAAACCATTTATTCAAATGAATTTTTGAAATGTTGTACAAATTTATTTGATATAGAAAAATTTTCTTGTCATTTAAGTGAAAATTATCCATCATCTATCAATGAAATGTTTATAGTTTTTACATCAAAATTATAAGATGACGTAAAATTGTATTTTTTGTATTATTATCATTAAAAGGTTAATTCCCTAATTTACAGACTTATTTTTTGTTGACATCATATGTTACACATCAATCTTTTTTTAGGATTTTTCTATTTTTAGCTTTTAACATTTCCTAATTTGATTTTGTACTTTTCTTAAAGCTTACCACAAATAGAGACCAGGAAATCAAAAGTAGCTTATAGGTGTGACAATGTTTTATGAATACTAAAATAAGAGAAGAAGTCTTTTTCAAGGCATGATGAGATTTTGATTTCTTTATTTAAAGATTATTCTGTTAACTGAAACTATTATTGATAGTCATTTAATTGTGCAATGCAAATAATTCATGCATATTCAGGAGGAAATAATTTGGGGGAATTTATTTCAAAAATGGATGCTAAAATCAAGAGCATGCAGTTTCCTTAACTTCTGGTTTCTGTGTATTGACATTTTAAGCATTCTCTGAAATGATATTGATTTTCATGCATGAATGCATCATTGAATTCATGCTATTTCAAGCAAATGACAGATACATTTGCGGTTGTTTTTCTTTTCAAGGTTAAGTTTGAGGAAAGATAAACATGCATTTGTTGACTCATTATGGTAGAAATGAAAGCCGCTATAATGTATCTTGATGTTTGATATAATCAAATCAAAAGTACCAATGTTATATTGATAAAGGTTTTGTTTTGTTTCATATGATGTTATAGATTTTTATACTGCAGCTAGAACTCTTCCTGTTGTCTTTATGTACCAAATATGGTAACATAAGGATATTTCATACAATGTCGATTTCATGTCCCGTCACTTTTCTTCACAACCTAGGGTTCCTTTAAGGATGGGCAATAATTTTATTTTTGTGGTAACATGTTTGCACAAATATAATTGCAGCAATTTTGATCTGCAGTATACCGTAATAACATTATTAAGTAAATGTCAGAAAAATATCCACTTTTGTATTTGGATGGAAATTGTTGGAGGGCTTGGTAAACCTTGCCCTTCCCCCAGTTTCTAAGCCTCATACAAAAAAAGGTTTGGTTATTTTTTTTACGACATAATTTTGTATATACAAATATCACCTCTTTGTTGTTGCTATCTGCTGTGATAATTTTTTTCAGAAGAGTGCTTTATAATACTAGTATTTTTTAATTACTTACATATTCTATATAGCAAGATTTCACAACCAAATGAAGACATTGATTTTGGGGGCTGAAGGGGGATTTTGATGAAAATTTCTTCCCTGTTTTTGCTGTCTCATATGTAATTTTGCTGTATAATTCTAGCTTGTATAATTATATTGTCAACATTGTAAACATCTTATTAATCTTGCATTAAATGTCAAATACAACATTGTTTATTTGTTTGTTTTTGAAGTAATAATTAATTGTTTTGTAAAAATAGCTAATTTTGTCTTTATTTACTATGATTCATTTTTCTTGTCTATGCTGCAAATGTAACAATGAAAGATGATTGATTCTGGGAATATCAATTATAATTAATTCTGAGTAGTAGGACTTATCATGGTGGGCTGCATATGGTACTACATGTATAATGCATCTGATTTTCGTTTAGTTTTTAGCTCACCTGGCCCAAAGGGCCAAGTGAGCTTTTCTCATCACTTGGCGTCCATCGTCCGTCCTCCATAAACTTTTACAAAAATCTTCTCCTCTGAAACTACTGGGCCAAATTTGACCAAACCTGGCCACAATCATTATTAGGGTATCTAGTTTAAAAAATGTGTCTGGCCATCCCGCCAACCAACCAAGGTGGCCACCATGGCTAAAAATAAAACATAGGGTAAAAATGTAGATTTTGGCTTATAACTCAAAAACCAAAGCATTTACAGCAAATCTGACAGGGGTAAAATTGTTAATCAGGTCAAGATCTATCTGCCCTGAAATTTTCAGATGAATCCGAAAACCCGTTGTAAGGTTGCTGCCCCTGAATAGGTAATTTTAAGGAAATTTTGTTGTTTTTATACGACCGCAAAAAAATTTTTGTGGTCGTATATTGGTATGACGTTGGCGTCGTCGTCGTTGTCGTCGTCGTCCGAAGACACATTGGTTTTGGCACTCTAACTTTAGTTTAAGTGAATGCATCTCTATGAAATTTTACCACAAGGTTCAAAACCACAAAAGGAAGGTTGGGATTGATTTTGGGGGTTAAGGTACCAACAGTAAAGGAATTAGGGGCCAAAAAGGGGCCAAAAATAAGCATTTTTGTAACTTCCAGACATAACTTGTGTGTTAGTGTATGGATCTCTCTGACATTGTACCACAAGGTTCCATATCACAAAAGGAATGCTGGGATTGATTTTGGGGGTAATTGCCTCAAAATTTTAGGAATTAGGGGCCAAAAAAAAGGGCAAAAAACCAGCATTTTTCTACTTTCATGACAATAACTTGTGTGTAAGTGTATGGATCTTTCTGAAATTGTACTACAAGGTTCCATATCACAAAGGGAAAGCTGGAATTGAGTTTGGGGGTAATTGCCGAAACGTTTATGAATTGGGGGCCAAAAAGGGGCCAAAAATAAGCATTTTTCTAGTTTCCAGACAATAACTTGTGTTCAAGTGTATGGATCTCTCTAAAATTGTACTGCAAGGTACCATACCACAAAGGGAAGGCTGGGATTGATGATTGGGGTAATTGCCTCAATATTTTAGGAATTAGGGGCCAAAAAGGGGCAAAAAACAAGCATTTTTCTAGTTTCAGGACAATAACTTGTGTGTAAGTGTATGGATCTTTCTGAAATTGTACTACAAGGTTCCATATCACAAAGGGAAAGCTGGGTTTGAGTTTGGGGGTAATTGCCCTAAACGTTTAGGAATAAGGGGCCAAAAAGGGGCCAAAAAACACATTTTTCTAGTTTCCAGACAATAACTTGTGTTCAAGTGTATGGATCTCTCTGAAATTATACTGCAAGGTACCATACCACAAAGGGAAGGCTGGGATTGAGTTTCGGGGTGATGAATCATAAGGGGGTTCAAAAAATTGGGGGGGGGGGGGGGGGGTTTTCTTTTTTTTCTTTTTTTCCTTTTTTTTTCTTTTAAAATTTTCCATTTTAAGTTGGTTATTTCTGATTTATATTTAAAATCAAATAATAATGATATGGTAGGAGATACACACCAAACAGGATGTGTAAATTATTATATAATAAGTATTGTGCAATAGCAAGAAATTTTCAATTGCACAGTATTGCACAATAGCAAGAAATCTTCAATTGCACAGTATTGCGCAATAGCAAGAAATCTTCAAATGCACAGTATTGCGCAATAGCAAGAAATATCCAATAGCACAATATTGCGCAATAGCAAGAAATTGTCAATTGTACAGTATTGCGCAATAGCAAGAAATATTTAATTGCACAGTATTGTGCAAAAGAAGATACTTTGTATAAATTGCTTATTTCTTGACCAATATCAATGGGGTTTTATTCTTGAATTCTTTTGGTTCTTTAATATGCTGAATCTAACCTTGTATTTAGTTTTTAGAAAATGACGCAGTCAATTTTCTTTTACCATTGACCAGACTTCCAATCCGCATTCGGAACTCGGTTCCGTATTTTACATACTTAAAGTGAATGTTCGTATGCTCATACATTGGTAAAAGAAAGACAACTCCAGCGTTGCAAATGTACATTTTAAAATAACAGATGGTGTTGTCTCCCTTCAACATGTCTTGTTGTGTACAAAATGGCGGTCATTAACCTTCGTGACCGTCGGACAATTTTCAATCATCTTGTTGGAAATACAACTGGAACAGACTTAAATTTGTAATTTTCATTCTTTAATTTCTTAACCTGTCAACTTGCACGATTCAGGCGTGAAATACTCGATTTTGACCCCTTGTCACGATTGCACGATTTTGTTAAATTCTACTGTTCCCAATTTCGAACTTTCTCAAACTTTTCCCAAGGGAGACAACTGTGATCAGCCAATCAAAATCGTTGTTTCTCCTGAACTTTGGGTATTGTAAACTGCAGATGTGCTAAATTTTGAACTTGTCAGGAACTCAGCATATTGTAGAAATCGTGATCATGGCAGACCAATTTTCAATTACAAGAAGGTTCTTACACAGCTTAAGAAGTAAATCATGACTGGTTGACAAAGTTCAAAGATGCAGATCAACCATAAACATAATAAACAGTAGCTAATGGACAAATTTTACACTTATGGTAACAGATCATACATGTTGTCATTCTTGAAATTAAATTACCAAATCCATTAAAGTACAATGTTCTATCTTTTAATTTTCACAAGGAATCAGATATATTTCCTTCTTTGTGAATATTTTTATATTTGAAAAGTCAACAATCACTTTAATATTCCTGTGACCAATAATCTGATAATCTAATATACACCAACAAAAATGGCTGTGTTTACACCATGAAATTTTCTCTGAATGCAGACAAAACTGTGTAATTCTAATAGTTTTAAATCCACGCAGCACCTGGCCACAACTCCTCTTTTTCCTGTGGTACATGAAAACAATAAACCGGTTTGGTACATTGTTGAGGTCTGAAAGTGACTTATAACTTGCCAACAGCCACATTATTTGGACTCTGGTAGATAGTACCTCAGACTGTTATCTCATTGGCAATCACCTCCCATCTCCTTATTTTATTACGGGTCAATTATTTGAAATAAATGACTACGGTACTAAACATTAAATCATTTGAAAAAAATAATTTTGCAATAATTTATGTTGTCATTTTAAGATTTCAGTGTAAGCTTGATTACTACAGGCTCTTCACAATGAAATTAAGTTGTATAAATGGTGTCACATTGTTTGTAATTGTGAAACTAGTATAACAATACTATTGTCTAAATCTACAGAAATTGATCACGTTTAGGTAACTGAAATAACAATGTGATTATGTCACTAGGTCACCAGTAACTTATCTCTTGAATAAGGACTATGTTTGGTATAAGAGCTTTCTTACTACAGGCTCTTCATAATCATTTTGTTAAATAATTCTACAAATAAGGGAAACAAATTCACATATTACTTTGAATATTGTAGATTGTTCAGGTAGTCTTGAGCTATTTCTTTGTACAGCAGAACAACTAGTAGTTATTTTCACTTCACACACATATATATATATATATCTTGACAAACAAATAAAAACGCTATAGATTGTGGAAACAATTCATATCTATTCTATCAATTACCCTACCTACCATAAACTGAACGCCTAAGATTCAGTAGGTAAATTAAGTAAAAATCAAGACTTGCATCAAAAATATCCTAATATGAGAGACAATGGCGTCATTTTTACTTAGAGCTTTCAGCTCTTTGATTGGTTTTTGGGCCCCGTTTTTAAATTGGTCCACATTGAGGTCCAAAGGGTCCAAAATTAAACTTTGTTTGATTTCATCAAAAATTGAATTATTGGGGTTCTTTGATATGCCGAATCTAACCGTGTATTTAGATTCTTAATTTTTGGTTCCGTTTTCAAATTGGTCTACATTAAGGTCCAAAGGGTCCAAAATTAAACTTAGTTTGATTTTAACAAAAATTGAATTCTTAGGGTTCTTTGATATGCTGAATCTAAACATGTATTTAGATTTTTGATTATGGGCCTAGTTTTCAAGTTGGTCCAAATCGGGGTCCAAAATTAAACTTTGTTTGATTTCAACAAAAATTGAATATATGGGGTTCTTTGATATGCTGAATCTAACCATGTATTAAGATTTTTGATTTTTGGGCCCCGTTATCAACTTTGTCCACATTGAGGTCAAAAGGGTCCAAAATTAAACTTTGTTTGATTTCATCAAAAATTGAATTCTTGGGGTTCTTTGATATGCTGAATCTAACCATGTATTTAGATTTTGGATATTGGACCATAATAGGTGAATGTCCAATTTAAAATTTTTAAGTTCTTAGACCACATTCATTCTGTGTCAGAAACCTATGCTGTGTCAAATATTTAATCACAATCCAAATGCAAAGCTGTATCAAGCTTGAATGTTGTGTCCATACTTGCCCCAACTGTGGTCGTATCAAGCTGCGCCCTGCGGAGCATTTTTTTGGTTATTATCTTGAATATTATTATAGATAAAGATAAACTGTATACAGCAATAATGTTCAGCAAAGTAAGATCTACAAATAAGTCGCCATGACCAAAATTGTCAGTCGACCCCTTTAGGAGTTATTGCCCTTTATAGTCAATTTTTAACAATTTTTCAAAAATTTTTGTAATCTTTTACAAAAATCTTCTTCTCTGAAACTACTGAGACAAATTTAACCATACTTGGCCATAATCATTATTAGGGTATCTAGTTTAAAAATTTGTCCGATGACCCCGCCTTCCAACCGTCATGGCCGACTTGGTTAAAAATAGAAC